AATATGGTTTGTATCACGTTCGAAGATATAGCACTTAACAACATTTTTGAACAAATGTTTTATGGGTCGCTTAGTGACCGTTTACCATTGCACATAGCATTAATTTCTGGCGCCCAACGTGGGGCACATAGCAACACATACATAAAAAAAATTTATTCTAAAGCTTGAGTAAAATGATCTACATTTGATGAATTTTGACATGTGCATAAAATGGCAATCGTAGTAGCTACCTAGTCAAGCTAGGAAGCTGAAAATCTATCTCGGAAAATGAGCCGCCACAGCAGATCAGTTAGTAGACAGATGCGAAGGAACGTGTCCCGCGCCCCCACTTACGCCGAAATAACGCGCACATCGTAAAAAACTTGGAAATAGACTAAGATAGCAGTACTCGAATAAAAATAAAATAACATTAAAGCAAAATAGATCTCTGAAACGAAGGTAGCAAGTAAAAAACGAAGTTAGATAAGCAAAATTGACATCGAAATGTACCAAAAATGCAACACTGTCCAATTAATCCAACTGTTTAACAAAGCGCTCTGTTGCATTCAGATCCGAATGATTTTGGGTATTAACAGGGAAACTTCAACACGAGCATGAAAAAGCTAAAACCTACGTCTTCGACTGGAGCAAAGTGGAGTACCACAAATTAAAACCAGAGGGCACTCCCATACTGGGTCACGTTTGTTAATAGCATATCTGCAAAGTAACTACACATTACAAGACCCTTTTCACGGACACGTTTTACAAAGACTATTAAAAACCCTTGAATATCCATTAAAGGTTTTAAAAATCTCTTTTAGAGCCTTTAAAAACCTTTTCAAGAGGCCTTTATATTATTCTTCCCTGAGATTTTAAACGCTTTTGTGAGTGTTTAGATTTTAAGGGTTTTTAAGATCCAGTAAGGGCTGAAATTCCCCCACAGACCTTCAGGGGTTTTTGAAACCACGTAGCGACCCCTAAAGTCTTTAAAGGTCCTGTTAGTGGTCGTTGAAACCACGTGGTGACTCTCAAATTTTTAAATTTATGTGCTTATAGACAATTACAACTCGAAATAGTTAAAAGACAAGAACATTTAGAAGGCCCTATAGTATTTTAAGCAACTCCTAAAGGCCTTTTTCAATTCAATTCAAAATTAAATATCTTTAAAGGTCGCAAAATCGTCTTGAAGACCCTTCAAAAATTACTCCTTTAGGCTTGACCCTTAAAAGCACTTAAGGTCATTAAAAGCTCTCAAATCTCACGAAAGAGGCTTTCAGTTCAACCTTTAAAGAGAGTCTAAAAGCTTAGAGGGCCTTTGATAAACCTTTGTATCTCTTGTAAGCAATTTTAAACTGTTAGAGACTTTTAAAACAGATTCACAAAGGCTATATCTCAGGCCAGGTCCTTAAAAGCCCGTCAAGGTTCGGATATTAAACACTTTTAGAAACTATTAGCTGTCACTGTCACTAAAATTTGCTGGGGAGAAAACATTTGGTGAACCATGAAGGCTGTTTATTAAACAGCAATAAAACATTTTCTTAAAGGCTCATGTTCCTTGACGACCTTTAGATTTTCTCAAAGAGACAAATGGAGTACCCTAACGTGTAAAGAGAGCTCGTCTGATGCCTTCTGAAGTTTGTTGGAAACTAAACACCTCCAGAAGACTTATGAAGACTATTGTAAGCTTTTGAGAGCCTGTGGGAACCTTCAAAAATCAGCTACCACCCAAAGTGTTTCCAAGAGCCTTTTAAAGACTGTTACACTACCGAAGCCTTTACTCAATTCAATAACCCTCAAAAATTCTCAAGGACTATCAAGATCTCCTTGAAAATCTGCAAGAGCGTTTATTTATTTATTGTCCCTCTTGTTCTAGGCCCTCAACAGGCTTACGCCCAATTACAGAATGACCCGCATAATGCTTTTTAGAGGTGCCCTTGCAGAAGGTCTTAAGTTGTTCTATACTACTCCGGTATTCAACTTACGAATTAGGAAAACTGCAGGAAAACCTAATTCGGAGTAGCCGGCAGAATGCTCGAAACTGATCTAAGGAAATTCCCATCTCTGCCACAGATGAAAAATTTCTACCTCAGCTAAGGTTCGAACGCCCGACCTTCGGTTTTGTAGCGCAACGCTCTACCACTCAGCTCCAAAGCCGATGAGATTTTAAGATCTATATCTTCTATTAGTCTTTAAGGGCTTATTAAGGTCTCTAAGTACTTTACTCTTTCCTTAGAGTAGCTGGGTTTTAAAAAGTCTGTCCTATTGAAAGATGCTCCAAAGACTTTACTCAAGGGTAAAAATAAATAGTTAAAGGGAGATTAATGTAATTGCATAACATCAATTAACCAACCAACGGAGATTTACGATCAAGTTGGAAAATGGTTTGAATCACGTTCAAAGATAGTACACAACAATTTTATGGCCCGAAAAGTGATTATCCAATATCGTAGTATTGCACTCTACTGGACTGGGTTTGAATATTCTACGATACTTAACGATTAGACTGCACGTGTACTTATCCAATTGCAAGAAACTTACAAGGTAAGAGTTTTGCCATATTTTCAGTGAGATTCATTATTTCTGAGATTATTTCACTATATCAGTTAGTCAGTTTCCTCCGAATCCGCTAGTATTTCAGATTCTGTCGGTTCTTAGGTTTCTTGAAATTTACCGAATCCTTCGATTCCTTTAGATTCTTGGGATCCTCCGAATTTGTTCAGATTTTTTGGTTCTTCATTTAGAAATAGGAATTTAATCACGTTTCACTTGTCATTCGAGTTCGCAGGTTTCCTCAAGAGGCCAGATCGTCAGGTTTCTATAAAGTTTGCCAGTTTTCTTCGCTCCTGCCTTTCGGTTTCTTCGGTTTATCTGCGATTTTTTCGGGTCTTCTGGTTTCTTCTGATTCTTTGCATTCTTTGCATATTTCGGATTATTTATTTATTTATTTATTTATTTATTTATTTATTTATTTATTTATTTATTTATTTATTTATTTATTTATTTATTTATTTATTTATTTATTTATTGTCCCTCTTGTTCTAGGCCCTCAACAGGCTTACGCCCAATTACAGAGTGACCCGCATAATGCTTTATCATTGTCCTTCCGTAAACCATATTATTTGACAGATGCATCTTTTTATGAGATCTGTCAAATTTGACAGGTTTTCCACGTTTTACAAGATCATTCAATTCTACAACATTCTTACGCGACTTTCCATAACACGGGACAAAGCACGGAGCCCTGTGGTACCCCAGCGTTTGAAAGCACTTCCTAATCGACGATTCCCGTTTTCTGCGCCCGAATGTGGGAGTGCGTCCCGTATTGATTAGGCGAAATTCTAGCGCAATCTATGACCTACGCCTGTAGATTTCCCTCGAGCCCCGCATCGGGGAGGTAGCGTTGAAGTCTAATTCCACGACCACTTTGTGCCAGCTTAGTGTTTTCATTTCTTTTCCTAAATAATCGAGTCTATCAAGAAAACTTTCATCGTGCGTCTTAGGTGGTAGACATACGCTGACCCTTCTACCTTGTTCCGCATTCCTTATGGCATTCTTGATTTTGGGGCATGACACACTCCAGGGAGAATGGCTTTCTACTTCACACAAATAGCATTTTTCTTACTTTAACATTTATCCCTTAGGTGCCCCAGTTCTCCGCAGTTGAAGCACCCTCCTGGTTTCTCCTCTGTCTCGGCCATGTACCGTAACCGTCTCGAGCTTCTTAAAGGTCAGCAACCCTTCCTTGGATGCCTGTAGGTGATTTACCTCATCCGAAATATAGACTTCCTTTACCACCCGGGGTCATTATATATCTTTCTTCCTCCTCAGACCAGCTGAGTGCAACCTGCACGATATAACGCGGCGAAAGCGATTCCATTCCTTCTTCTCCCATGACATAGGGGTGCAGAAGCTCTTGTTTAAACTGTTTCCATAGTCCATTTTTGAGGAGATTTGTGGCTTTGGCACCTACAATAACTACGGGACACCCTGTACGTGTATCAGAATTATTTTTTTAATGTTTGATTTTGTTTCAATAATTGTTTTGTTTATTTTGTTTTGGTAATTGTAATTTAAATTACGTGTTAAAAAAACTAGATTCAATCAGTTAGGAATGATGTGCTTAGTTTATCTCATGTTTTTCTGGTACCTATATTTTTATTTTATTTTATTACAATAGCTCAATTAGTCACAGGTACTAAGGAAATCTTCACTAAATTTGAGAAATCTCAGCAGCCTTGATCAATTTTATTTATTCAGCTTAAATCAATCAAATAAGCTGAAAGAAAAATAGGCACTAGGGTCAAGATACACATAACGCGCAACAAGCGATCGATTGAAACAATTGATTGAAAAAATCTTAACATTATAGTGCTAGATGTGGTCGGTTCCTGCACTGCAACCTTTTGCTCTATTGTGCTCCCCGGTATTGTCTACCCTTCAAGAATACCTGCGCCATTAACAAGTTTTCACTGAATCTCCTTTTTGGCTGTGTTGTATGTAATCCCCCAAGCCGGTTTGGATCCTATAATTGAGATACCTGGAATTCGGAGGAAGGAACAAAACTCGAGGAATCAGGGGAACGGATGAAACTGAACAGCTCAGAAATCTGGTGAATCGGGATACCAGATTTTTAAGTTAAGTTTTGAAAGCTAATTTACTGAACTGGACTGAAATAAAGAATCTGTACGAGATAGGAAATACGAATTTTGTCGTGAAAAACGTCTCAGTAAAAATTTAAAAACCTTATAAGTTTGTTGCTATTTGACAAGTACACGTTTATCAGGATCACATAAATGTAAAGAGGTGTGATGATATCACCTTTCATTTAATAACGTACTATTCCCTCCTAATACATCTTTTCTTTCTTAAGAGCAATGTTTTAAGACAACAAAAAACCAAAGACTTGGCGCCTCCCTACGTCTCATGCTCTCCGGATACAAATTTTCGTTTTGAAATTAATATCACAGAGTTGCTAAAAAATGGAGAGGTTTTTGACTCAAATTATGTTTTCTTTAAAAGAATTTGGCATTTGAAGGTATTCCATTAGGACCACGTAATCACAAAATATGCAATATATTATGTTCTCCTGGTGTATTCTATTTTACTTTAAAGGGTATTGTACCCGTATCACAGAATGTTGAGGAAATTTTTCAAGAAGTAATGATCTCCTGACACTTTTTCCTTAAGTTACGCATCAGGATCACAGAAATCTTTGTTCAAAATTCTGGATTACACAGTACGCATTTCACAAGGATAGGTCCAAGAAACTATTTTTGCTGCCACGACCCCTTTTGTGACAAAATTATTTCTGAGCGCCTAATCTGTTTCTAGGCAATGCTGTTCTGCAGCGAAACAAACCACCGCAAAGATTGTGCAATTATACTCCGAAGGGCGTGCAAGAGCTATGGATCGTCGCAAGTACTCGATCTCCTTGATCTGACCGTACCCAAAGGAAACATGTAAGTTTGGGTCTCGAACTCCTAATTCAACTCTCAGATCAGTTATGCCCTTTTAGGCGCCAGCGGTTCGGGGAAAACGACCCTACTCAGCTGTCTTGTTGGTAACAGGAGGCTCGCCTCTGGAGAAATGCGGGTGCTAGGCACGGTGCCAGGACAAACGGGATCGGCCTCGCCAGGACCCCGGGTAGGCTACATGCCGCAGGAGAACGCCTTGTACCAAGAGCTGACAGTGCGGGAGACCATGAAGTACTTCGGGTGGATCGCCGGCTTGTCTACCGAGGACATCTCGCGCAGCTTGGGGAAGCTAGCCGGCCTGCTGCAGATTAACAATGTGGACAAGTATATTTCTGCCTTTAGCGGCGGAGAACAGAGACGGATATCCTTCGCTGTCGTCTTGCTTTACAGCCCGGAAGTGCTGATACTGGATGAGCCAACGGTCGGCTTGGATCCGCTTCTCAGGGAATCAGTTTGGCAGTACCTACTCAACCTGGCGCAGGTCGACAGTTGCACCATACTTTTAACCACGCACTACATCGAGGAAGCACGCCAGGCGCATATGGTGAGTCGTCCCGTGGGATGGCGGTTCTAGTCTAAAATTTCAGGTGGGATTCATGCGAAAGGGATACGTGGTGGTCGAGGCACCTCCACTAACGCTCCTGAAGCAGTTTAATGTAAACACCTTAGAGGAAGCCTTTCTAGAATTGAGTCGGCAGCAGAATGATTCTAGGAAGCGACTCGTTTACAGGTTTACAGAGGAAGCGATGAATGATGCGGGGTTTGGATGCGCGTTGGAAACGAACTCCGCGTCGAGCTGGCAGAAGGTGCGAGCTCTGGTTTGGAAACAGTTCGTGGCGATGTCCCGGAATCTCACCTTGCTCACCTTCACGGTCTTGAGCACCTCGATGTCTGTAGCAATATTCTTTCTAGTCTACGGTCACGATCCCAAAAGCATCACCGTGGGTGTCGCCAACTACGAGACGAACACCACCAGCTGCTCTCCTCCAGACTGCTATAGTAATTCGCTCAGCTGCAATTACGTCGGGCTACTCAATCGAGGTGCTCACCTGGTAAGTGGACCACAAGTCCGGTGGGTGAGTGATGACCCAAGTTCTAGCGCCATCTGTCAACGGAAGGCGAAGGTCTCAGTCTTTTGGCAAGTGGCAAACTTCACGCACTCCTCGTAATCGAGCGCAATTACAGTCGCACTTTGAGGGAGAAAATCATGACTTGGACCCCGATCATGGAGTGGCGTTACGACAATGCGATCATTCGAGTGTACAGGGATTTTTTGGGTAAGTCCCCACGTCGGTTACGAGGAGTAAGTAACTATCCGCTTTGCAGCGAAGGACATCGCGGCCTACGTCCAAAGGTTCACGACCGAGGCGTTTAGCGACTTCATTGGGCTCTACCTCAGCAGCTGCAACGTTTCAACGAAACTGATGGATTTGCCAATCCAGGTCGGTAGCGACAAACTGCTCGAGTAGTTCTAATTCGTTGATCTGCAGTGGAAGGATCCCGTTTACGGAGGCAAGCAGGTGGAGCTGACCACGAACGGTGCGCCGGCGTTCTTTTTGATGTAAGCCGATGGTCCGCCACAGAGATCTTCAAAATTTGTTACAGGACCGCCTTCTTCGTGGCCTCGATGGTGACCTCCACCTCCATTTTGATCGAAAAAAGTGAACGCACCTACGATCGAATTTTTGCAATGGGCGTCGGACACGGCGAGATCCTGGTTTCGCACCTCATCACCGACTTCTGCTTGGTTCTGGGCCAGAACGCTGCGATGCTGGTCGTCGCGTTCTGCGTGTTCGGGTTATCCTCGCATGGATCGCTGATAACAACAGCGAGCTTGGTACTCGCCAACAGTTTCTGTGGGATGTGCTTTGGATACGCCATCGCTAGCATTTTGCAAGTGGAAAGTTCAGTCATGCATCTCATATCCGGCTGTATGACTCCCGCCATTCTGTTGAGTGGTACGTTGTGGCCGCGAGAGGGGATGCATGTGGTCCTACAGGAAGCGGCATGGTATCTCCCGGTCTCGCATGCGGCGCATTCTATCAACAGCATACTCAACAGGGGATGGGGATGGACAAATCCAAGCGTCTATTTAGGATTTGTGAACTGTTTCGTATGGATAATAATTTGTTTAATTGTATGTGCCTTTACTATGCGTTATAAGCAAAGGTAGATAGTCAATTAATGGGCCATCTGGAGCAAATACAGAAATCAAATACATATACAGCCAAACACGTGTGTTTATCCGATTGTGCAGAATACTTTTAACTCGGACAACATGGGTACCTGCTACGAAACAGGACGGACTCAACTGGTAAATTTTAAAATATCTTTTAGTCAGTACTAAAATGTCATAGAAATCGAGCAATTCCTGCGTGATGAACAAATTACCCTAGGACAAGGTCAGGGTTTTTTGGTAACTGCAGTTCCTTTTCGAGTCAAGCACATACTCCAACAGTGTGGACAGTGGAAGAAAATACAGCTCATTTCAGGTTAAATGAGTTCTCGTTTATTCATAGCGCTCACAATCTTTCGTCAGGTCAAAGATCTAGGTTTACAAGTTCGTACTCGCGATCTAGATAAGAGTCTGTGATTAGATGCGTTATATTCCAGTCGATGAAAAATACACTGCAACTTTCTTTTATTATATCGTTGTTATAGGAACGGCATAACATGTTTCTTTCTGTCGTCGAAATTTGGTGTAGATAGAAATTTTTACAGGAGGCTATGAAACGCCGTCATCGTGGACATAACAGACCTATAAGGATGTTGGAATGGATGTAGTAGTCTGAGGACTAGTGCCCCCTTTCCTTAAGTGTGCATCGCCGCCGTTTTTACAAGAAACAAATAGGTTGATGGGCCTGTAATTCTTCGTCATGTCATATTTTCGATGTCCCGGTTTAGGTAGGTATACAACTCTTACCTTTCTCCAGTTTTCGGGGACATACCCTAAAGCCAAGGAGGTTCTAAAGATGGGCAACAAATGTAAGAGCAGCGTATCTTAATGAATCTATCAAGGTGTCAGAAGAACTTCTTACTTATTATGGCCTTTTGACACAACATTCTGTTTAGGAAAACGTAGCTTCAAAATCTATTAACCGATACCTTCTAACGTGTCATGTTCTATTCACACAAATGTATCTTTTCACGCACGTAACAGGATCCCAGAAACGCGAGCAGTGACAAAACATATGAACTCCCACCTGATCTATCATGTGCTTTTTAAAAATTCGTGTCTTTTACAAACCGTATCAACATCACAGATACGCAAAGAGGCATTGGGGAAGCTCAATATCCTTCGGTCGCTTTGAATTCTTCAGTCTTTGCAACTACACAAATCCAGAAAAACTAGCAAAGAAGCAGAAGGGCAAAATCGATGAAAAACCAAAAGAAGTTTAGGAGAAGGTCAAGCCTTCTAAGTGATTTCTAGATCACCTGTAACATCTGTAACATCTGTAACATCTGTAATATCTGTAACATCTGTAACATATGTAACATCTGTAACATCTGTAACATCTGTAACATCTGTAACATCTGTAACATCTGTAACATCTGTAACATCTGTAACATCTGTAACATCTGTAACATCTGTAACATCTGTAACATCTGTAACATCTGTAACATCTGTAACATCTGTAACATCTGTAACATCTGTAACATCTGTAACATCTGTAACATCTGTAATATCTGTAACATCTGTAACATCTGTAACATCTGTAACATCTGTAACATCTGTAACATCCGTAACATCCGTAACATCCGTATCATCCGTAAGATCCGTAACATCCGTAACATCCGTAACATCTGTAACATCCGTAACATCCGTAACATCCGTAACACCCGTAACACTCGTAACATCCGTAACATCCGTAACATCCGTAATATCCGTAAAATCCGTAACATCCGTAACATCCGTAACATCCGTAACATCTGTAACATCCGTAACATCCGTAACATCCGTAACACCCGTAACACTCGTAACATCCGTAACATCCGTAACATCTGTAACATCCGTAATATCCGTAATATCCGTAACATCCGTAACATCCGTAAAATCCGTAACATCCGGTAACATCCGGTAACATCCGTAAGAACCATTAATACGTCTTTAAAGGGGTCTGTAAAGGGTCTCCAATAGTTTCTAAAAGCATAGCTAGACTTCTAAATGTATCAGAGCCTTTACGAGGATTTTGTCCTTTCAATAAGTATTTAATTTAATAATTAATTAATTAATTTTTAAGCGTTTATGAGGGTCGCCAATTATCTAAGCGAATGTACAAGGTTAAAGGTCTGCAAAAGGTTCCTTTTCAAGTGAGTTTCATAGCAATCAAGCTGTTTCCAGGATCACTTAGGTAATTTCTAAATCCTTGTAGAGCGTTCATATCACGATAATCCTTAGAGATTCTATTTAACAGGAGTAAAGAAGGGAAAGGGGAATGGGGGGAGAAAACGAAAGAGGAGGAAGGAATACATTTAGACGAGTAGAAGTGGAGAATGAGAAAAGTGATAACGATATACAACAGAGAGGGAATGAAGGACTTAAAAAAATGCAATAGAAGATATGGTAGATGAAAGGGAGGAGGAGGGGTTTTTATTTTGAGGTGACTTTAATGCCAGAACAGAAATTAAAGGAAAGTGAGCATATATGGAAGGAGAAACAAAAAATAGAAAATCAGGAAATAGAGAGTGAAACAAAGAAATAGAACAGGGATAGAATCGGATCATCAGCCGATGGTATTAAGTCTAAAAGGGAAGATAAGACGATCAATAATAATTGAAAAGACTAGATGAACACGGAGAAGAAATTGGAGGGAATACAGAAAGATAGAGTTGGACAATATAAAGGAGAGTATTAAAAAAGCAATAATGTGAAATCAAACAACTGAAGGAGAGGGGGCAGAAAAAGTGGCGATACAAAGAGTGCCCAGAAGAGAGAAATAGATATAGAGAAATTATGGAGAAAGAAAGATGAGAAGGAATAGAGGAAAAGAGGTGAGAGAACAGAAAAAGAAGTACAAAGTAAAAAAAAATGGAGAAACAGAAAGAATGCGAGGACCAAATCAGGCAAATAAATCCAGAGAATGATTTGGTAAACAGAGGAAAAAAGTAAAATTGAACAAGTGGGAGGAATGAAAACAACATTTGATCAACGTGCTACAAAGAAAGTAGGAAAAAGAGGATACTATTGGAAGAGGTCGAAGGAGACGAGATAGCAAGAGAGAAGATCGAGCAGCAATTAAAAACCGAAGAAAGGGAAGGCGATAAGGAGAAACGAGATAGATAACGAGGCTTGGACTTGCGCCGCAGATCTAGTAAACAAGGTATGGAAAGGAGGGGCGTTACCCGAAGAATGGAAGGAGGGGATAATAGTGCCGATCTTCAAAAGGGGGAAAAGATTGTGTGGGAAATTATAGGGGAATTGTTATAATATAGAATAGTACAGAATCTATGCAATGATACTGAACGAAAGACTAGAAAGGGAAATGGAAGAGAAAAGGATGTTGGAGGGAACCCAAATAGGGAGGGGAACGATCGACTGCAGTCAGATTGCAGAGTGGGAATGGAAAAAGTATAACAGATTGAGAAATTGACAAGAAGTTAAAAGACAGAATCATTAACGAGGTATATGGAGAGGCAAGATTGAGGGAAAGAATAGAAGAGGAGTTTGATGTGTTTGAGACATGTAAAGAACCAAGACATCGATGCCCACTTAACCCAACCTTATTTTACCTCTACTTAAGAGACATGGAAAACGTATCTAGACAGGGGCAAGGAGGAGGGATAGTAGTGGGAAAGAGAAAGATATGGATCATAGCAATCATGGGAAGAATAGGGAAGGAAAAGAATGCAGCTAGAGAGTGATGCGGAAATGAAAAGAGGGGGAAAGAAAAATGGAGACAAGAAGAAGAAAGGAAATGTAGAATATGCGGCGAGGAAGAAGAAGACATAGAACACACGCCATGGAACTGTACGGAGGTGGAAATGTTGGAGTTTTACCAAGCTGGAGTCTAATAAAGATTGATTGATTGATTGTTTAGAAGCGATTGAGGCCCGTAGCCAAGGAGAGGTTAGGTGAGGCTCGGCACTCCTCTAAAGTTATGTGTAAGGAGATCACTGGCAAGAGTGGTTGTTCTTTCACGAAATCTCTATCTCGCCCGAACCCCTCCGCCCCCAAAGGTGGATATCTCCTGGTGCATTAAAAAAAAGTTTAGACGAGGACTTTAAGTACGTCGAAGAAGGCTAGAATGCAATAAAAGCGGAGCGCTCCGAAGCTCATTAAAAGCGACGTGTTCGAATCCAATTTTAGACGTCTGCATTATTTTTAACCGACTGTACTTTATTTGGCAAATTTTCAAGAGGTCGCAGACACGCACAAACATAAAATTAATTAGCTAGTAATTTTAGGAGGTACGCATATTTTTGCTGATTATGAAAGCAGTAATCGAGAGGATCTTGGCTGGAAGTGATGCTGCGCCTCGTCTTACTGCTGATGCCTCCATTGCTCTACGCGCAAAGGCAGTTTTACGAAAATAAGTTCACGATCGGTGAGTGGACGAAAGCGTGAGAGTGGGCCTTAACGAAAAATTTTCAGGTGCGCTTTTTACGAAGGACGACACGGACGTGGAGCTCGCCTTCAAGTATGCCGCTCAATGGCACAGCCTGTACAGTGGGGAGGGCACCTCGTACAACACAATCACGAGGAGGCTTCCCCAAGGGAACACCTTCGCCTCCAGCAAAATAGTCTGCAACATGACCAAGACCGAAAATAGGCTGATAGCGATCTTCGGCCCCGACTCGCTGAAAACCAGCGCCATGGTGCAATCCATTTGCAAAAAGCTGGAGATACCCCACATTCAGACCTCGTGGCAGCCGTCCACCAACTACCCGCCGATAATCGCCCTAAACTTCTACCCGGCCGCGGACCTCCTCGCCGAGGGCTTCGCCACGATCGTCAAGCACATGAATTGGAAGAGCTACGCGATCGCGTACCAGCGCGACGAGGGACTCATCCGCCTCCAGGGCGTTCTCAAGATTCCCGAAAGCACGGACAACCCGGTCACCGTCCGCCAAGTCGCGCAAAACGCGGACAATCGGTGAGTCTCAACGATTTAGGGCAGACGCATGCATAATCGAAGTTTAGGCCGATGTTTAAGCTGCTCAAGATGTCCGGAATAACGAAGATCATTTTGGATTGCGACACCGACGAGATCATCAACATGCTGCAGCAGGCCAAGGAGGTGGGGCTGCTTACCTACCCCACGAGTTACCTTCTCACCTCACTGGTAGGTTAGTGAAGTTCCACTCGTACGCTAAGCCAAACTTGTAGGATGCCCACACCGTGGACTATTCCGTGCTGGACACGAGCGCCAACATCACGATGGTGCGATTGTTCGATCCGTCCAATGAACAGTTGGTGAGGCACCTGAAGAGCTGGGAGGTGGGCGAGATGAGGAGCAATCGACAGGTGACGACGACGCCGGAGACGGTTCGGGTAAGGCTACCTCCCTTCAAAAATTGGTAACTTGGGTACGCGGTTCCATAGTGGAAAAAGTGACACGGACTTTTCTGGGTCTCTGGGAGTATTTAAACCTCGAGGTTCTTTGAAAACAGTTCTCAGAAATATTAAATAACCTAATGGGCGGCTATTTAATATTTTTTGAGGGGCATTTAAGAAGGTTTAGCTTTAAGAACTAAGCTCTTCATGACTTTTGTAAGCCTTGAGGTCTTTAAAGACTTTTAAAGGCTCTCAAAGGCCCTCGTAAGGGATTTCCCAGCTTACAGTTAAGATTCGAGAACAGTCCCGCCATAAGGTGTCGTAACGAATGTGGTTACAGTTATTATTTTACCACCCCCGTGACCGTCCATTCGAGGTTAATTTACAAACAACAAGTCCATACACACCTCAAACTTCCACATGTTTAAAAGAATGATCAAAATTTATGAATTTAGTGCCAAGTCATCAACATGAATTGAGCAAACATTTACACAAAAAATGAACGCGACGATTCAACGATTCAAGGGCAGTTTAAGGGTTGTTTATACATTATTTAAACATAATCTATCAACGAAATAACAATGTTAACTGTATTACGAAATTTACAACCCCCGCACTCTATGTATGCTGGAAGTTATAGTTTGAATTACTTAAAATATTAGGCAAGCTTAAAACATACGGAAATTTATTATTCAAGGGCAGTTTAAGGGTTGTTTATACATTATTTAAACATAATCTACCGTAGAAATGAGAATGTTCACTGTATTACGAAAATTACAACCCCCGCACTCTAAGTATCTCTAAGTAAGAGAATCAATTTGAGCTTTAAGGGCCTTCCAAAAATGTATAAAAAAACCTTTAAGTCAATTAAAGATATTTATTGAGTTTGAGGACCTCTAAACGTCTTTAAAGGTTTTCAAAGTTTTCAAAATGTGCCCCAGGTTGGGTGCCAAAATGTAATGTAAGAAACACCTGTCCAGCTAGCCCAATGTTTAACAACAACAAATCACTTCTTTATTAAATAAACTGACTGTCTTCAGTACGTCCGAAAACTGAGAATCCGGAAGCACGGCCCCAACAAATGGACCCAGACTCTACGCCCAAATTAAATCCAAAGGCAAACGGCAACGGCCACGGTAACACACTTCCTCTTCTATCTTACACATTTCCCTCCCTTGTCTCATCTACGATTCCACTTCCTAATTCTTTAGTTAAAATTAATAAAATTCTCTTATCTAAACGAGCACCTGCGACAAACATCTGTTTACAAAATTAATTCATTTTTAGCGATAAGCGTAACTCTTATCTGCGACCGGAAGAAAACATGTGATAAGGTAACCAAGAACTACACTGCCCTCTGCTTTTAATGATGAACAGTCTTTAAAAGCTTTTAAAGGGCTGCAAAAATCGCCAATAAAACCAAAGAGATTTAGGAGCCGCTGGAAGCTTTTGTGGGCGCCGATTTATCATAACTTCAAGAACCGATTTAAGGGCGTTTGTTAGTCTTTGGAACCTTTTAAATCCAAAAATCATCAAAAACGTTTTTGAAGACTTAAGGGCCTATTCCCCAAAGGTGTTAATTATTCTTTGGGAGTTATTTGAGAGGTTTGTCTAATCTTATGGAACTGAACCATTAAGTTCTTGGAGAATTAGTAGGAGGGGGGGGGGGGGCAATGTAAATTTTTATAAAGTTCTGTGCATAAAAGGCAGCATGTTGTCCTCGTGACTAACCTTAAACCAAACAAAAGTATTGCCCACCAATATTATAAGAAATGGACGGGTGAGGGGGAGGGGGAGTTAAATAAACTGAGCGTGGACGTACTGCTTCGTCGATTGCAGACTGATTCGGCGCTAATGATCGACGCCGTCAATCTCCTCGTGGAAGCGGTGAACCACCTCAATAAAACAGAAATTATCTCACCAAGAGCCATGGTCTGCGAGGAGTCCGACACGTGGGAAGGCGGCTACAGGATCGCGGCCTACATGAAGGAGGTACGCAACTTTTGCTCTCAATTTTTATGCGCTCACTTCGACTTCCAGCATCGCTTACCGGCGCCCATCACCGGACCGATCGTCTTCGACCAGTTCGGCCGGCGAACCAACTTCAACCTGCAGCTGATCGAGCTGAATAGCAACCTGGTGAAGGCGACGTGGTGCCCGGCGAACGGCACCCGCTTGAACATCACCATCAGCGCGAAGCAGAGGCAACAGATGGTCCTGCGCAGTTTGCAAAAGCAAAAGATCGTCGTCTCCTCCAAGTAAAACCGATCGTGTGGTCTTGCAACGTGGTGCACTCTCAGTTTTAGGATCGTCGACCCTTACCTGATGGAGCTCAACGCGTCGCACGCCTCCGACAGCTTGTCCAGCAGGTACGAAGGCTACGCCGTCGATTTGATCGAATTAATCGCTAGGGAGCTGAATTTTACGTACGTCTTCACGATAACGGAGTCGAACGGAAACTACGACGAGAGTTCGGGACTTTGGAACGGGGTCGTTGGCGATGTCGTCAACGGCGTCGCCCAGCTGGGTATATGCGACCTAACCATTACCCACCAGCGCAGACAAGCTGTAGACTTCAGTAATCCTTTCATGACACTAGGTAGGTATGGGGAAACGGCGACGTTTCTCTGAAGGAGCTTTTAGGCATTAGCATCTTGTACAAGAAGCCGACGCCTGGGGAGCCGAACATGTTCGCGTTCATCGACCCGTTGGCGCAGGACGTGTGGATGTACACCGCCACCGCCTATCTAGGAGTGTCTGTCGTACTTTACCTGATAGCGCGAATGGCACCCGGCGACTGGGAGAACCCTCACCCGTGCGAGGAGAATCCGACGGAGCTCGAGAACGCTTGGAATTTGGGGAACGCATTGTGGCTGACGATGGGGTCCATTATGACGCAAGGTTGTGACATTCTGCCCAAGTGAGTATGCGGTCGTGGTTGTTTTCGCCGAACACCTAACCCCCACTTTTTTCAATTTTACAAATGCTCCTCCAAAATGGTTGCTAATCGGTTTCAACGGCCTTCTTCATTCGTTCTACTAATAACTTTCATCTCATTTTTTGCCGAGATTGGTTTTTTGCCCACAACTTTTGATTGAGACGTCTAATCGAAAAAGTACGAATCGTTTTGGATTCTACGCACCAAAATTAATAAGAAAAAGTTTTTTCCCGAGAAATTTTGGTGCAGTCGATTTTTGGTAAAAAATGAAGGTTATACACTGCCTTTTTTTTGGCTCGAAAAAAAAATTGTCTCAGATCGACCGGAAAAAAATATTTTCTTATAGAATGTGGCCTGTAGAATCCATAATTTCAAACAGTTTCCAGATCGGGCTACAATTCCTACGAGGTGTCGGAAGGCACGACGCACCGTTATCAGCAATTATCCAGAAACCTCTGTAGTTAAAAACCCTGCCCTGAACCGGCTTACAGTGGCCCACTTCTTGGTTTTTTGTATGCTAGCCCCATAATGACATAATCCTTGCAGGGGAATATCGTCAAGAATGGCCGTATCTATGTGGTGGTTCTTCTCGCTGCTGATGACCAGCTCCTACACCGCCAACCTGGCCGCGTACCTCTCCAAGGAGCGTCTGGGCGTATCGATCAATAGCGTCGACGACTTAGTGGCGCAAAATAAGATCAAATTTGGCACTCTCATCAACGGCAGCACGTACGAGTTCTTCAAGGAGTCAAATTACTCCAAGTACCAGGCGGTGTGGAACAAAATGAGCGGATTTAAGCCGTCGACGTTCGTCGGGAAGAACAACGAGGGCGTGCGGAAGGTGCTGAATAAGAATCAGGAGTACGCGTTTTTCATGGAGAGCGCCTCAATGGAGTACGAGATAAGTAAGCAGTGCGAGCTGGCCGAAATCGGCGACTGGCTCGACTCCAAAGGTTACGGAATAGCGATGCCGATCGACGCTCCTTACCGAGGCGAGATTAATAGCGCCATTTTGAAGTATCAGGAGAGCGGCGCGCTGCAGACCCTCAAGAAGAAGTGGTGGAAGGATTTGATTAAGAAGGAACCTTGTGAGGTAATCGACAGTTTTCTGAGTCAGTGAAATCCAAACTGCCTTCAAAATTTCTGAACTCCCTCAATGGAACCACGTCTCTCCTGTCCTTGACCCCTAGCAGAGACCTTCTCGTGAGGATCTTAAAAAAACATTGTATTGCAGATCGAGGAGACTGACGAGAAGAAAGACGAAGGTCTGAAGCTGGCCAACGTCGGCGGTGTCTTCTTGGTACTGGGTTTTGGAATAACTGTCTCCTTTTGCATTGCCGTGGCCGAATTCCTGTGGAACGTTAGGAGCATCGCCACGCAGGAGGGGGTGAGTCGCCTGAAACGGGAACGATGATCCAAAAAATTGGTTTCAGGTCAGCTACTGGACGGTGCTCAAGAGCGAGCTGAAGTTCGCCGTCAACTTTTGGGTGACGCAGAAGGCGGTGCGCGCGGAAGTCAAAGAACCGGCGTCTCCGCCGGAGGCAGATCAAAACGAGGACCCGGACGACAAGGTCTTCGAGACGCAGGGGTCAATCTTCAACTTGCAGATTTTACCACGGATCAGCACCAATCGCAGCGGCTCAACACTGAGTTAACCTCAAAATTAGAGCGTTTTATTCAAATACACTTAAGTCATTGGTATCTTCTCTGTATTATTGCACGGGATTGGGGTAAATTGCACGCGGAGACGTTGTGCAACCTATCCAGGCCGTCGGGGAGCTTCAGCCTATTCGCCAGTTTCACCTCCGCCTCGCCTCTCGAGTGCACAAACTGAAGCAAGTCTATCACGTCACTTACTTGCTCTTTCTCGACACACCTACGATCGAGTGGTTAGAGAGAGAAAGCGCGAGTGTACGTACAGTGGACAGGGGTTAGTTGGTACAACCTTCTGGATGGGGTTGACGCGGTGGGGGCGTACATCTTCTCTTACTGTCGTAACTGGTGCTTTCCCTTTGACCTTAGGCTGCCAATTCGAGAAATTAACGATAGAAGGAGCTCGCAGCGTTATACCTGCGTTTTCTGTTTGAAGAACGACTTTAGGAGCAAGTCGTTAACTTGGCCGTCCAATATTTGAAGAAACAGGGAAACATTGTACCTGTTCACTCCAGCGTTTTCGCCTGGAAGAGATTCCTTAGTATTGCACCAAGACTGCTGAAGGCTCACCCAGCAGCGTTGCAAATGGGGTCAGATCACACTTGCAAAGCGTAAACAGTTTGAGTATTCCATCAAAGAGTCGCTCTAGAATCTTTTCGATTCGTTTGTTTGAGTTTAGCTCGTTATTAAACTACAAAAATGTCACCATGAAGCTTCACCGAAGCACCCTAGCGAGATCTCACCTCCTTGTTGAGATTTTGCAACGTTTCTTTGTACTTCTTCAAGTTGCTCAGCTGCATCTGAGCTCTAGCGCTGTTAATATTGGCTTGCGTCGCTAGAACAGAATTCAGTTAGACGTATCTCTAGCACTGAGCCATTACTAATGTCATCCTTAAGACGTATGATGGAGTCGTTCAAAGTTTCGCACTCAAAGTGCAAGGCCGCGATCAGATTGAACGTGGTGTAGTTCTCAAACTCTCTCTGAGTGTAGGCCGCTACAAAATCGTTAATTCGAGCGGTACCCGACATTTTCTAAGAGCCCCAGGTTAATGCGAGGCTTGAGGATGGAACACACTTACCCAAACCCGATTTAAAATCTCCTCGTTTCTGACAAGCTGATTCTGCAAAGCATTATGCCGCTCATCCCGTCTCGTCTCCTTCCTGTCAAGCAGATCCCTCATGCACCTCTTCTGTCCCTTAACGTCCATAAACTTGGCGAGCTTCGACTCGTGGTCCTTTATCCTTTGCAACGAGGCCATCTCCTGCACGAACAACGTGCTCAGCAAGCGCTAGTGAATCTCAAAACTCATACCTCGGTCTGCACCACAAGGTCCATGTGACATTTCTCTCTGAGCGCGTGCAATACCGCGACGGTCTCGTCGCGTCGATCGTAGGAGATCGTCGCCTGCTCGATGAGGTCCATCATAATCTTTTTGCCCTTCGCCAGGGTTGCGATGTTACCATACCACGCCTTGTTAAAGGTATTCCTGGAACAGAATATAAATGACGCGCCCTAAGGTCTACAGCTGTACCTTTCAAAGAGGTAGTGATCGATCTCGTCTCTCAGCCTGTGATTCTCGTCGTTAATCGCGCAAGTCTGCTTAACGAAGGTGTCGAGCTTGTTTTCCAGAGTCGCCAAGGTCTTCTGTCCCTCTAGGACCCTCTTCATGTGTTCGGCGTCCGTGGTCACCTTACTCTGGGCTTCTATAACCTTCTTTTTCGTCTATAAGAAGGTATACCTTTAGTTGGCACCTCGAAACCACTCTGGAATGTTATAAAGTTTCAGGGAGCGCCTAAAGCTCCAAAAAAATGACCTAGGGGCTGTGGAAATCCTTAGAGGAACGAATCTGAAAACGGGCACCCGACCTTGTAAAGGCTCAAAAGGTTTTCACGGCCTTCTCTAGAAGAACCTTGAAATGTTTCCCATTGTTTTATAATGTGGTGATCAAATTGAGGTCCCAGATTAACCCCAGATTAGCTCAGGTTCATGAGAGATAAGTACAGTATAGCTGAGTCACATCCTATTGTTGATAAATGAAGTAACGCGACTTGGAAAAGTACTAACCATATTTAACGGGAGGGGGGATCGGTGAATTTTCAATGCGTCTTGAGCTGTCGTAGAGCTCAGTTCCAGTTTTAAGGGAGCGGAAAAATTAATGATTCAGACTTTTCTCAATGACTTCGGATGCCCTTGAAAACATAATTTGCCACCACAAAACTGGGATGACCTTGAAATTTTACGGGGTCAATGACCTCGGATGACATTGGAAATGTAATTCGACACTACAAACAAGGATCGTTGACCTCGGATAACCCCGAAAATGTATGGGGTCAATGACATCGGATGACCTTGAAAATGTAATTTGACGCCACAACAAACGGCGGTCAACGACCTTGCATGACCTTGAAAATTGATGGGGCCAATGACATCGGACCACCTTGAAAATGCAATTTAACACTACAAAAAAATGGGTCAATGAGCTCGGGTGGCCTTGAAAATGTATGGCGTGAGTGAATAAATGCAGTCATTGACCTTGTATGTCATTGAAATGGTAATTTGACAACCCTAAAAGTGGATCCATTGACCTTGGATAATATTGATCATTTATGTTGACACCACAAGTAAGGTCATTGACTTTAGTTGACATTGAAAATGTAAATTGACACCACAATTAGGGTCATTGACCTTGGATGATCTCAAACTTTTCATTTAAAACCATAAGGCCAATGACCTTGTATGCGCTTGAAAATGTAATTTAGCACCACGTCAATTGAGGCCATTGATCTTGTAAATTTAGTTTGACACCCCAAAAAATGAAATACCACCCCTACAGCTTGTCCCTTGAGCTTTACGGCGGCCTACTTTCCAAGGTCACAGCCACGTGACACGCCACCTTGTCCTGCCTCCCATGGTCACCACCAGGTGGCGAGAGACCTTGAACTGAGCCAGGTTCGTCCCTATACCACCCTATGCCACTAGGCACACTGACTTAAAAACTGTTGCCTTTGCGTAGAAGTTTAATAACGAACCTAGGCCCAAGGCGAGTTCAGTACAACCCCAACAGAGTACAAATCTGATTAGGAAAGTCAGACCCCTACTCTTCCTAGGTATGTGAAAACTAGTTCAAAGCGAATCGAAAGTGAGTTCGGCACAAACCTAGGCAGAGTCGGACTTACCCCATCATATCTTTACACTGCCTACGTGCGTTCCGAATCAGCCTTTGGCTCGCTCGGCACTATTTTAATACACTACAAAAAATGGGACAATGAGCTCGGGTGGCCTTGAACATGTATGGCGTGAATGCATAAATGCAGTCATTGACCTTGTATGCCATTGAAATTGTAATTTGACAACACAAAAAATGGATCCATTGACCTTGGATGATATTGAACATGTATTTTGACACCACAAATAAGGTCATTGACCTTGGATGACCTAGAACTTTTAATTTAAAACCTTAAGGCCAGTGACCTTGTATGCGCTTGAAAATGTACTTTAACACCACATCAATTGAGGCCATTGATCTTGTAAATTTTATTTGACACCCCAAAAAATGAAATACGACCGCTACAACTTGCCCCTTGAACTTTACCGCGGCCTACTTTCCAAGGTCACAGCCACGTGACACGCCACCTTGTCCTGCCTCCCATGGTCACCACCAGCGACCTTGAACTGAGCCTAGTTCTCCCCTATAAACCTACTTCTACCTAGGTTTGTACCACTAGGCACTGGATTAAAAACTGTTGCCTTTGCGTAGAAGTTTAATAACGAACCTAGGCCGAGGCGAGTTCAATACAAACCCAAACAGGGTACAAATCTGATGAGGAAGGTCAGGCCCCTACTCTTCCTAGGTATGTGAAAACTAGTTCAAAGCGAGTCGAAAGTGAATTCGGCACAAACCTAGGCCGAGTCTGACTTACCCCAACATATCTTTATACTGCCTAGGTTTGTTCCGAATGAGCCTTCAAGCGTGGAAGTTCAACAACAGACCGAACGAACCGTCATGCGAAGGGGATAGTTATAAAACCAGTGTCAAACGAGCCTAAGGCCTAATGGGGTGACTCAGACCCCTACTATACCCACGTTTGTGAGAATTTTCTCGAAAACAAAGTAGAGGTCTGACTTGCCCCATTAGACCTTTATTCTGCCTAGGAGTGTGCCGTAGTCGCCTTCGGTTCGCTTGGCACTGGCTCTACAGCTATAACTTTATCGTGGAAGTTTTATAACATGCCTATTTTAGTACCTAACGAGTTGAAGGCATGCAAATGTGACAAAACCAGCCAAACCTGGACTGAAAAACAGTTTGATGGGGTAAGTCAGACCCCTACTATGCTTAGGTTTGTGCAAATTTACTTGAAACGTAGTCTCGAGCGAGCCGAAAACGAGGTCGGCACAAACCTAGTCAGAGTAGAAGTCTGACTTACCTCAGCAGACTTTTACTTTGCCTAGGTTTGCACGCCTTCGGCTCACTTCAGCGTGGAGGTTTTATAAGAGGCAAATTTTTATCCCGACCGAGGCGAAGGCATGCAAAGGTTATAATTTGAAAACCATTGCTGAGCGAGCCGAAGGCGAGTTCTACAAAAACCTAGGCAGAATAAAAGTGTTATTGGTGTTGGTGTTACCTCTACTCTGCCTCGGTTTACGTGAAAACCCGTGACGAGTTCGGCGCAAACATAGGCAGTAGATTATCCCTACTAGAATTTTACTCTGCCTAGGTTGGTCTCGAATTTGCCTTTGGCTCGCTCGGCGTTAAGTGAGACGAAAGAGAGGCTCAACATATTTAGGAGGGAGTCTGCTAAGTGCTTGATAGAGGCTCTTTTGTCCTTGTTTTGCCTTATATTTCCCCTTTTACAAGTAGGCGAAGCTCCAAGGTTCCAAAATGAGGGCTAAAACCTAGGGGTTTCTGATGAGACCTAGAAAGCTCTGAAAAGGTGGTGAAGTGCTTACGACAGGCGCTAGAACGACATAAAAATTTCTAGTGCTTTAAGCAGGACCTCCCCTCTCCCTTAGAAGAACCAACATATCCCCGGAAAGGTTTTGTGGTCCGGAACGCATTTGTAAGACTCCTTGAGTCCTTTCGGGCGCACTCAATCCCATGACCAAATGTGGCCAAAAGGCATAAACAATGTTTCTAGTTAAAACCCCCGGACTATTCAAGGGTCCTCAAGGCCTGTTAAAAGGTAGAATTGCAACGAAGGTCCATTAAAAACCTTGGAGATGCTGTCTTAAAAACCAATAGCTTTTTAAGAATGAGAGGTGCGGAGAGGAAGTGTGGTTTTCGATTTGAAACCCAGAATTAAGTGCTTGAAGCTTGAAAACTGAAGAGGCTTGTGAGACGTGGGTGATGACCTTTAGAACGTGGTGGCCTGGGAGTCTTAACAATCTTATTTGGTTATTTAGGATACTTGAATGTCTTAAAAGACGAGAGTCTCATGGAAAATCTTGAAAACCTTTGGAAAAAAGAGCACCTCTGGAGGAGTAATTACCAGCTGTATTTGCTCATCGATCTCTATCTCGCTCAATCGCATTTGCTTAATTTGCCTCTCGAAGACGTCGTTCTCCTTCAACAGCCCCGTCAGCTGTTTATTATGGCGGGAATCGATGAGCTTCTTAGGTCCGCCGGTCGCGACGTACAGATCGTTCAGGATGTTGTAATTTTCGTGGTTGAGGATGTCGACGACCTTCCGCTGTTTCGCCAGCCTTTTCCCGCCGCTGAGCGCCGCGCATTCCGTCGCCAGGTTCCTTTGCTGAAATCCGGAAATGAGGGTTAACCGCAATCGTCCGCGCCTCCGCCACGTACCTGACGTTCGACGCGGCCCAACTCCGATTCCTGCTGGAGCTTCGCTTGAAGCTGGACGATCGGTTGAGGTTCCACCTCTTTTTTGACCATGACTGCGAGCAAGTGACAATTTTGACAGGTCAAGTCAGCGCGAGCCGTCAGTGAGTTTTTTTTTCTTATTCGCGAAGGGGATTATCGGGATGAACGACGCGAAATTAAATTTAACGCCCGAACGAAGGTACGAGATGGACTTGCGCCTGGAGCTCGAGTTAAGCCAAAGCATTCGCCAGCAGCGGATTTTGGATCGCGAGGTCAGCTTTTATCACTCGGGCGCGCAGCCTGAGCCCGAAAGGTCCATTCTCGACAATTTGGACCGCGAACACGCCGAGTTGCTGGCGGACACTTTCGTTGCTTGCTCCGATAGCAAGAAGAGGGAGGTGACCGGGGTTATTTCGAACATAGTCGCTCTGATTCGCGATCGTGAGGGTTTGGCCGACGCCGTGGCAGGGAAGGGGAAGTCTCTAAGGGAGGTGGACGCGGAAATCGTTAAGGTACCTATTCTTCGTCCGAGCAGTTTCCTAGTCTTTTGTAGGTGACCAAGAAGGTTAACGACCTGAAAAGTCAGGTGCCTACTGAGTTGGCCCAGGTGGAAAGATGCCTAGCTGGTAAAAAAACGTTGGAGGTACTTGAAAGTAAACTGGATTCCGTTATTAAGCAATGCTGCACGGTGGTGACAGAAAATCGCGATCTTCGGGAGGAAATCGACCACATGCTGATTGAAAGGTTAGGCTTGGTGTAAGACTAACTTATAAGCTGACACGTAGGATGAACTTCAACAAACTATGGGAGGGCTACATTACAAACTTGAGCAATGGGAAGAAGCTCATGATGGATATCTTCGAGCAAGCAACCATCGCCTATGACCAACGAGATGAGTGGATCACCAGGTTAAACGCTTTGAGAAAACGCGCCCTAGACGATTTGAGGCTGCACGTCTCGGTACGTCCCCTCATTTGAACGATCCTGATCCCTCACTTAACAGGAGATGACTTCGCTGCGCAAAAAAATGGACAATGAGCGACTGCTGGAAGAGTTTATGGCGATAAAAGGTCAATTTCGAAATATGTCCAACTTGGAGGAGAAGACCATCCGGGAGCGGGAGGCCAAGCGAAAGCTACTAGACGATTGCTTATCGAAGCACAAAGCAATCATAAACGAAATCAAGGTGGTCAGCTTCTCGTTCGAATCGTCAACTAATCACCTCCCCTTAGGCTTACACCAGGATTAACCCGCAGACGGAAACCGGAAAGGTCATCCAGATCTACGTCGACTCAGAGGAGCGCAACATTTCCACTTTCAATTACGTCAACGAGCTCCAATCACAGATGGAGGTGATAACCGAGCGGGTTATGGACAAACAGAAGGAAATTGGTAGGTTGTGGACGCATTGACAATGTTTGACAACGCTTAGGCAATTAGATCAGCAATGGCAAATCTCGCAGGGATTCGTCGTGCGACAGAAGGAAGGGATCAAGGAGCTGCGCGGTGCGTTGGCTAAGGCGAAGAAGGAGGTACGTCTCCTTCTCACCCTCCACCTGCCCTTAGTGTTCCATTTAATAGGCCGACGAATCCAGTCGACAGTTGAACGCAACCAACTCCACGCTGAAAAGCTTGTACGTTGGGATCGGGAGGCTCTTCCAGATTTGCAAGTGCAGCAAAGAGCCGTTTATGCAACTCCTGCGTATGACGATCGCATTTTTACGCTTGCCTTCTCAGTTCCTCTTTCTAGATGACTTCGGCAGCGTGAACGATCACAACGTGTTCTGCTTCGTGGAGGTTCTCGAGGGCACGGTCATTAACCTGTTGGCGAACGTCTACTTTAGGCAAATCACCACCGTTCCCTTACAGAAGAAAACCGCAAAAGCAGAACAGGAAGTTATCGACAGCACTATTTCGGCACCTCCTAACTCGGCGATCCAGGATATTATTCCCACAAATCCTTGTCCATTGTAATGGTGTGGCGTAGTTGGTGGAACACGCTGACTGGGGTCTCGTTTCAGATGCACCGATCGTGAGTTGGTCAGTGACGTTATTGACACCCTCCAATACGCGCTAACTCGTGACGAGGTGGCGGATAAGCTGAGTCTGAGGTTGGCGTTGCCCGACGGTTTGGAGAAGCTCCACAACGTGTCGGCGTGCCACCTCCCGAAGTCGCGTCAAATTATACAAAAGCGGCTACAGTAGAAAGACGCGAATAAATTATCTTTTAAGTGGATTTTTCTGAGCCCTTTTCGAACCATGGAAAGAACATTGGAGAGTCTGCTACAATTTTCAGGGATTTTAAATGCTTTGGAGCTTTCTAGGCCTCTTACAAAGTCCTCTTTGTCTAACCAAAATATTGTTCTTCACCTTGGAAGATTTCTAAGCATTTTCGGGAATAGTTGTATGCTTTTTCGGCGTTCTGGGATAAGGTTCTTTCAGAGAATATCAACTTTCTATAGAAAGCATATTGCCCTGGAAAACCTGGGCATCAACGGCTTTCAAGAGCTATAAAAAGCGCGGAAACTTATTCCAGACCGCACCCAAAATTTTCTTTCGAATGTCATTCTTAAGCAGTGTATGTGTTCCAGAACTTTTCAAGGAATTTCTAGCACAATTCTTCCAACAGAGCTTTCCATGGAGTTTTCAACCGCTCTGATCTCTCTCTCTGCTAAGGCCTAGAAAGCTGTTTCGAAGAGTACATAGAGCATTGAACGGAAAAGCTTTCTATTCTATTCTATTCATAAGAGGAGCCCGACCAGGCAGCACAATGTTCCTATCCCCTTTCTTTCGCAACCAGGTTCAGGGCCTGTTCCTCTCAATAAAGGATAGGACCCTGTTTAGCCTAAGTTGCTTCACCCTTGTCGGTTCCAGATAACTGTTTCCACAGTTATGCAGGTGACAGTTAACTATCCAGTGCACCGTAAGGACGCCGGTAATTTTCCTAATTTGGTTTCCATTCAGTTTTAAATTAGAAAACCCAGGACAACGGGTCCTGTTGGAAAGGACCTGGACAAAGAAATGATGGAGCTTGTAATCCATCGCAATGTCATATTTCGCAAGACCCAGCTTAGGAGGAGTCTTTCAAAAGGATCTTACGAAGTTACCACAGAAGGTCCACCATGATCCTCGTTTAGACCTTCGAATATGGTCCTTATAGCTGCGCTGAGCGATCTTAAGATGGTTACTCCCTTCCCTAGTAATCCCCACGGTTGCACCTCTGGTCGGTCAAGAACCACCACACGTCGGCTTCTTCCTCGACCTCTAAGAGCATCAGTAGTAATCCCTTGGAGGTCAGTAGCGAGGATTTAAGCCCCCTCAGTCGCAACGAAACTGGGTCGCGTTGCTCCGGTGGAGCACTCTCTCTTACCTGGCACAGCCGGAGCACTCGCTTTCATCAAAAATGTGACGTGCGTGACTCCCGCGTCCGCTTAAACGCTCTGCCGCTGAACTGCCTGATAGGATGCGTAGAGGTATACCCACCAGGCTCCACCCTGCGGAAGACCGTCCTCCATAGGCTCGTCCTGCAAGCAGGATGTTGCCTCTGGAGGCGCTTCAAGATGGTGGGCGGGTCATCCGGGAGCCCGTATAACGCAGCCATCACCTTGGTTACTCTAGCGACGTACCTCTGCACTTTCAGAGGCGCCCCATTCCAGAGCCTAATAAGAGGGATGGTCCTCTCCAATCAGTCCAAGGTCAACTGGTAATCGCATTCGGCCACAATGGCATCCTGCCGAGTCCATCTCCGGCTGGGACCTCGGAACAATGACCACCCTGCGCCCCGCCTCAGCGACTTACCCTTAATTTCGTGGTGCACCCGCAACTTTAGGTGCTCCAGAACCTCTGAGCTTTTTCTGGGACTGACTTGAGCCACACCCTGGAGTGCTTCCCTCCGATCTGACGTCGGGTTGCCCCGCTGAGCCCAGACACCGTCTTGGGCTTTGCCACAAGTTCCGCTTGACCCATAAGGCTCTGCCCTCGAGCCGACGCTTCCTGGCCATCGCCGTGTGTGCGCCTATTTTTCTTGCGTATAGGAGCTAGTCCACCACCAGGGCATTAAGCCCTGCGTTGGAACCGTCCCCTCTTTCGGGGAGTCTGCCCCATTCAGGGCCGGCTCAAGACAAAAGTTACACTAAAATTTGCGCCCCTGGCCGCCTCGCTAAAGCCTAAATAATGGGAACTTTTGGAAAGCAGGTTTTAAAAAATATAGAGGTCTATATACTTAAAACACATTGTAACGTAAATTTAATTACGTGATTTATTTATTTACAATTAATTAACAAATATTATTTATCTCTCACATTAACACAATTTATAACAGTGGGAACTATTTATTACTTCGGTGTTGAAATTGGAACTTTCCTGAAACGCAATTCGATTTAAGTACTTATATAGCCAAGTCGAGTATTCTCGAGTGCTCCCGAATGGTCTTGAACATTTTAGAACAAACCACATCACATTTCCCGTAAAGATTACATCACATCCGCCTTTGTTTTTTATTACTAATCTTTCATGGCGCCTCGGGATTTCTGGAATATTCACTACATAATTTCTTACTATATTAGGAATTTTTTCAATTTATGTTAAAACGTGATCGTTTACCCTTAAAAATAGAAAACGCCGTCGGTGTTTTACATCCGTGATTCATTAAATTTGAGTAATTTTGTTCCCCTTCTTGACTGCGGAGAGTTACATCGCTTACGCCTAAAGCCGGCCCTGGCCCCGTTACCGAACCCCGTTTGAGGAGCCTGGCGGGGAGCCCAGAAAGGGTTTGTTTGATTTGAATTCGTCCATACTGGGCAGAGCAGCTTGCCCAGGTCTTGGTTGCCAGCCCCTTCCCGAAGAAAAGGATTCACCACTAAGAGGTCGCCCAGTATCCGAGGAGCACGGCCGTTATCAACACTGCACCCCAAGGCCAGGCAGTTCTCGGCACGGTCGCTAACACCTAGAAAATTGTGGGCTCTTTCCAGACCGCGTTGGGTGCTCATATTGTTGTCATGTAAACATTCTAAACACCTAAAATAATGACGGCATACCCTGTATATGAGACTATTTCAAGCTATTAAGTATATCTGGGGGATTATTTACGAAATAAGCACAGAGTTGGTTCGTTTCGTTTGAATTTTAGAAATTTAGAAATCAGTAATTCTTGTTGGTGTTAGAAGTAAGACACATCTTGTCGTTTGTGATAAGGAGTTCTATCAGGCGAAAATTAACTAACGCACGTGTCTGATCTCTGTTAAGTGATAAGGTGTTTCTCAAGCTTTTAAAGACTCAATGTCAGAGCTTATTAGGCCCTCATCATAACCTTATCGAGGCCGTTTGTGGCTTTTTTTCAATCTGCGCAGAAAATTCACATACTAACTCTTTTTCGAGACATTCTAGAGTCGTTGCATATCCTTTTATCGTTTTTCCGTGCCCTTTCTAGGGCTTTCTAGATTCTTCCCTCTAAAAAGACTCAAATGGGGTCTCTAGAAGGGGCCGAAGAAACTGTCTAATTTTGGCCTTGTAAAATTTTTGTATCAGGATCCCATTATCGCAAGACCCACATTATGCGCTTCCCATAGAAACTTCTTCTATAAAAAGTTATAGAAAATATCGTTATCAGATTCATAGGAAAGCAAGAATGTGAGAAACTTCTTGACAGACACATTTTCACGCATGTTATCCCGATACAGAGCTTCCCGTTTAAAATGGCATGTGGGAAACCAACTGAAAGGCGAATTCGCACTCATGTAGTCTGTTCTCCTGATACAGATATACCTTATGAAATATTGTATCAGGATCTCAGAAATGACAGAAGGTACAAAATTCACATACCCAGTTTTGGTATTAAAAATCACAGAAATTCCACCTCCTGATACAATTTCTTCCTGTATCAGGCTCAAACGCAATTAGACGATCTAGAATTCAGCTTTTCACGCAACTCTATACAAATGTATCATGTTGTCTCAGAATTAAGGCACTGCACGAATATGTACAATTTACTACAGACATTGCCATCATTCTGTTCTCCTGATATTTTTATCTAAATCATTGGTCCGTCAGGATAACAGTATTTCAAGAAACAAATACACATTCATGCATTCTGTTCTCCTGATACAAGGTTTTTGTCCTTTAAACCAGTCGTGTCAGTTCATGTTTTCCGGTTTTTAAGAACCCTAAAGTGCTTTAAAAACCTTAAAAAGCAATCTTTAAGAGTATAACCTTTAAGGAGCACATTCTTATAGTCTGACAGAATCTCAAAATCACGGGATGTAATCCCTTTAGTAAGATCTTCTTTTATGTTCTCCCGATATCGATTTTTCTTTGAACCATTGTTGCATTAAGATCTCAGAAATGCGAGGAGGTGTAAATTTTATTGGAACCTTCGTCTGCTACAAATTTGTGAAACACTGTTGTCAGGATCCCGAGGAAATTTGCACTAAAAATTGTTGTATCAGGGTCACAGAAACCGATTTTTTTCTTAAATAATCTGTATTAAAATTTAACAATAAATTACAATATTATACTAAGATCATATACTATTTTTGAACTTAAGGCAGATGATGCTAATTGCAAGGAACAGTAAGCTCAGCACAGTCATATACGCAAACCCGTAATAAACCTGGGGCTCGGCTAGACCCCAGCCGCGTTGAAGGATGCTCATCATGCTTTGAGCAGCAACCGTCAGAGGAAAAAACGAGGCAAACACGCGCAAGACACTATGCATCGCCTCAATAGGCCAAACAATTCCCGACAGCAGCACCAGCGGCGTTGAGAGTCCCGTGACGATGTGAACGGCCGCGGTCTCGTCCTCCAAAATGCTAGAGAGCGCGAAACCTGAAACCTTGAATCACGATCGGTCGGGCAGCTTGAGGCTCTTACCGAAACTCATACCGCAAATTCCAGTGAGGAGGCTGAGCGTGAAGACCAGCACAACCGATCCTGTTAGCGTCAATCCGAAGACGGCGAACCCGCAGACCAGCAGCAGCAGGATCTGGCAGACCACGACCATGCCGTCGCAGACCAGGTGCGACACGAGCAATTCGACACCATTCACGCCCATAATCAGGGACCGCTCCAAGATTCCTTCGTTGCGCTCAATGAGCAGTGAGCAGGCGGACATCGCCGCCGAAAATGTGAAGATCAACCTGAAATGTGCGCGGTTGTTCCTCGTCTCACTGACATCTTTGATACTCACGTGAGCATTATTCCCGGACCGGAAAAGTTGGTATAGTCATCGATTGTGGTTCCGTAAATTGGTTTCCTCCACTGAAATATCAAGAACTTAGTGATACCTACGGGCTACGGTACAATAATTTTCGTTTCTTCATTGGAAGAGTGTTCCCCTCCTTTAGAAGAAAACGACTCGACTATAACATTTTTAAAGCGTCCGTAGCTCAATTGGATACGTCCCAGCTTTCTATTTCAGGTATCGTGGGTTCGAATCCCAAAGCCAATAAAATATGTTCTCCAGGAAGCCTACGCCGGTCCAAAGTGGCTGATCCAAAGTAACATCCAAGATGGTGTGCTCAAAATGGCATCCAAGATGGCGGGCTAACTGCCAAACCACTCGAGCCAAAAATGTCAAAAATAGCCCTTGTCAAACAGCCCAAAATACCCCGGGTCAACTGCAGAAGTACCCCGGGGCCAACTGCCAAAAATTGACCCGGCCCAACTACCGAAGGATTTTTCCATGGTTCCTAGAATTTTCCCAGGTCCAAGTACCCCAATACCTACTAAAGTGTTTTCCAACAACTGCAACAGAAAACAGGAATGGGCAGAAAACTAGGAACGCTAGAGATAGAGACAGAACACAAGAAACTGGATGCGCAAACACTTGTAAGAGTGATAGGTACAGTTTTGGAATTTTTGAAAGGGTTGAACAGTTTAGACATTACATACCATTGAAGGTCTACAGGGTGTTCAAACCAAAAGTTTGAATTTTTCAGTAAATTGTACGACTGGTGGACTGGTGATAGTTCGAAGAATAAGCGATCTATTTTTCTGCGTATTTAAATTCTATGGTTCAAATGGTTTTTTTTTCGAGACGATGGGAGATTACGCAACTCTAAGATCACCAATTTGCATTAAAAAAATACTTCCCGTCTGGGGTTCTTAAGGATAGCCTAGTTTTTCTTGCACACTGGAAGGACAGCGATCCTGATTGGCTTTTAAAGGAACATGGTTGACTTAATTATTAGACGTCATATGGGTTAATGAAAAAATAGGAAGGGATGGTTCCGGTAAGTTGGAGAAGGTATTCGGTTCTGGACCAACAGTTGGTGTTGCATGTATTTTGATGAACTTCATTCAAAATTTCAACGGAAACTGAGACAGAAAAGTGGATATGAAGAATTACAAATTTAGTAATGAAATCTTGGAGCACGGGAACAGGACATTGGAAACAGGAATGTAGAAATTCGGGAATCCGCTCAAAAAAGTGGGTAGAGAAATTGGTAGAGAACTGAAAACAAATGAAACTGAATGAATGAAATAGACACGGTGAAACCTGGAACGGAAAACTAGAAATAGGAACGTGAAATCAAGAATCTCGGTAGAGGAATTAGAGAGCGGGTAACTATATACCAAGGGACTGGTAGGAGCCCGGAAACGAGATACTGTTACGTAGAATTAGAAAATGGGCACACTGGACTTTGGATACTGAAGATTGGGGAGCGGGAAGGGTAAGCTGGAGACAGGAAGTGTAAACAAAAATAGAGAATGGGCACACTGAAAGATGCACACTGGTGATTTTAGAACGCCAATAGGGCATTGGAATCAAGGAAGTAAAAAACAAGAATGTAGAGAGGAATTTGCGAGCGGGTAACGGGTAAAAAATGAAACCAGGTAACGGAAACAACTTGCTGTAAGGAAGAAATAAGGAACGGGCGCACTGGAACATTCACACTGATGATGAACGCGAATAGGGCACTGGAAACAAAACAAAAACAATAAAATGGAGAGGGATTTACGAGCGGGAAACTGGAAACATATAAAACAAGGGACCGGAAAGAAATTGCTGGGAAGTAGAAATAGAGAATGGGCACACTGGTACGTGCACACTCAACATTGGGGAACGCGAATAAGGAACTGGAATCAAGAAAGCGAAAACAAAAAAGGGGAAATAGGAATTTGCGAGGGGTTAAACTAGAAACAAATGGAACAGTATACTGGAAACGAATTGCTGTAAGGTAGAAATAGAGAATGGGCACACTGGAACATGCACACTGACGATTGGGTAACGCGAATATGGAACTGGAAGCTAGAAAGTGAAAACAAAAAAGTGGAGAGATGAATTTGCGACCGGGCAACTGGAAACATAATATGGAAGAGGAGACTGGAAACAAACTGCTGTAACGTAGAAATGGTGAATGGATACACTGGAACATGCCCACTGATGATTTGGGAACGAAAATAGGGCACTGGAAACAAGAAAGCAAAACCAAGAAACTGGAGAGAGGGATTTGCGAGCGAGCAACTGGAAATAAATGTAACATGATACTGGAAACGACTTACTGTAAGGTGGAAATAGTGAGAGCACATTGAGACATGCACACTGATGGTTTGGGACTGCAAATAGGGCACTGGAAACAAGAAAACAAAAACAAGAAACTGAAGAGAGAGATTTGCGAGTGGGCAACTGGAAATAAATGGAACAGGAGACTGGAACCAAGCCGCTGTAAGGTAAAAATAGTGAATGGACACACTGGAACATGCACACTGATGATTTAGGAACGGGAATAAGGCACTGGAAACAAGAAAGCAAAAACAAGAAACTGGAGAGAGGGATTTGCGAGCGGGCAACTGGAAATAAAAGGAACATGATACTAGAAACGAATTACTGTAAAGTGGAAATAGTGAGAGCACATTGCAACATGCACACTGATGGTTTGGGAACGCAAATAGAGCACTGAAAACAAGAAAGCAAAAACAAGAAGCTGGAGAGATGGTTTTGCGAGCGGGCAACTGGAAATAAATGGAACAGGGGACTGGAACCGAGCTGCTGTAAGGTAGAAATAGTGAATGGACACACTGGAACACGCACACTGATGATTTAGGAACGGGAATAAGGCACTGGAAACAAGAAAGCAAAAACAAGAAACTGAGGAGAGGGATTTGCGAGCGGGCAACTGGAAATAAAAGGAACAGGATACTGGAAACGAATTACTGTAAGGTGGAAATAGTGAGAGCCCATTGCAACATGTACACTGATGGTTTGGGAAGGCAAATAGAGACTGGAAACAAGAAAGCAAAAACAAGAAGCTGAAGAGAGGGATTTGCGAGTGGGCAACTGGAAATAAATGGAACAGGAGACTGGAACCAAGCCGCTGTAAGGTAAAAATAGTGAATGGACACACTGGAACATGCACACTGATGATTTAGGAACGGGAATAAGGCACTGGAAACAAGAAAGCAAAAACAAGAAACTGGGGAGAGGGATTTGCGAGCGGGCAACTGGAAATAAAAGGAACAGGATACTGGAAACGAATTACTGTAAAGTGGAAATAGTGAGAGCACATTGCAACATGCACACTGATGGTTTGGGAACGCAAATAGAGCACTGAAAACAAGAAAGCAAAAACAAGAAGCTGGAGAGATGGTTTTGCGAGCGGGCAACTGGAAATAAATGGAACAGGGGACTGGAACCGAGCTGCTGTAAGGTAGAAATAGTGAAAGGACACACTGGAACATGCACACTGATGATATAAAAACGTGAATAGGGCACTGGAAACAAGACTGCAAAAACCAGAAACTGGAGAGAGGGAATTTCGAACTGGAAACTGGAACTAGGTACATGATACTGGAAGTGAAATACTGTACATAGGAATAGAAAATAGGCACACTGGAGCATGGATACTGAAAACGAGTAAACAGAGAAAAATGAGAATAAATGGGATAATATGAAGTTGGACTTGAACATTATGGACTAAAAGAGACTATAAGATTGGAAGCTAAAGACAAGTATGTGGAAGACATGGCCAAAGACTTAGGGAGCGGGAAACATCAAATTGAAGAAACAGGAAACATAAAGTTTAAAATTGGTAAGAATGGGAATTGGAAGCACAGAATTTACACAGAAAAGGGAAAATATTTTAAATAAAATTATAAAACAAAGGATGGACACAAAATACAAATCTAGAAACAGAAAACCGTAAACCAAAACCTGGACCGGTAGATACTGAACCAAAATATGAGAAGGTAGCTCGAAGACGTGTAACTGTAGAAAGAACACAGAAAAACGAGAAATCCGAAAAGAAACAATGTACAAGGAAACCGGAAGTAAAGTAGTTACAAAAACGGAACCTGGAGAACAAGTGCAGGAAGCCAGGAACCAGTAGCTGGAGACGATATACAGAAGATTGGGCGCTGGGTGCTAGACTGGAAAGTACAACCAAGAACACTGACCCCAAAAGTAGAGCCTCGAAGTTGTACACGAATTTGGAACCTGGAACGGGGTTCTCTGATACTCACCAAAATCGGTACGGAAAATGCCTTGCCGGTTTCGTGGCAGGACAGGGAATAATCGCCCAACAACTCATTCAGTGAGTCATACGTCGACTTTTTGATAAAATCTCGAATGACGCTCACTGAAACACTGCACGTCGTGAACTTCGAAGGGTTCGAGTTTACAAACCTGCGGCGTCGTTCACAATTCTGATGGTTGAGTAATTTACGTCCCAAATCTTCGGTCTGGCCAAGTTCTCCATTCGTGACTTAAGCGCCGCGCTGTAATTTCGGCTAATTATTACGGAGGCGTAGGTCTTTCCGTGGCGTAGAAGCTCGCCGGCTTCCTCTTCCGAATCAAGGTACACCTGGAAATGGAGAATTGAAGAAGAAGAAGATCATCTGAGACTGAACTCACCAGACGGACGGACCTCGTTTGCAAGTAGGTCAAATAATGGCAGCTCAAGATCGCGCTGTCGCAGTGGAGATTTCCGCACTCGGTCAGGTTGGTCTCGTGATTAACGACCGATATGTCAAAATCGTAAGGTCGATGGCCGTAGCTGACGCAAAAGAGCGCTATAATTAGAGCTGGCAGTAACACGATACTCGCCATGAGAGGAACGTTTCGGATCATCCACAGGAGGTTCTTCCACAAGATGGCCTTGAGGTGATTGTGGCTTTGATACACGTGGTGAATTCTTCTTCGTGAATGAAAGTCGGGTTTTTTCCTGGGGCTGCCAAACCTAAATCGCGGTGTGGAAACGTCGCAAAGCCCGTGCGTTCTCCAGCAGCTTGCGTCGGTCTGCAAACGGCTTAGCTTCAGGAAAGCGTCCTCGAGAGTGCGCGCCTCCAACCCTTCCAGTAGGGTACCCGGCGACTCCTCCGCGACGATGTAGCCTTCTCGCATCAATCCAATCTAAAACAACCCAGTTAGACACGCATCTCCACCTGAAACTCGTACAATGTTAGCCTGGCGCATCTCCTCGATGTAGTGCGTGGTTATCACGACGGTCACCCTCTGACTCTTGGTAATGTACACCAGGTGATTCCAGATGATTTCCCTCAAGATGGGGTCCAAACCTACCGTCGGCTCATCGAGCACCAGCAGCTCGGCGTCGTGCAAAAGCGCGACGGCGAACGACACGCGCCTCTGCTGCCCCCCGCTCAAGTTCTTCAGCTTCTCATCCAGATCGGGTATCACCAGGAGATCGGCAAGAAAGTCGAGCCTCTGCGAAATCTCGTCGGTACGCATGCCGGCGATCCATCCGAAGTACTTCATCGTCTCGCGTATCGAGAACTCCCTGTACAGCGCTATCTCCTTCAAGGGGAAGAATGAGAGGCGACAACGGTCGGTCTTCTTACCTGTGGCATGTAGGCTACACCTTGCTGTACGGTTGGAGGTCCCTCCAGAATGGTAACGGTCCCCGAATCCAGCTTAAGGAGACCGACTAGGCAGCTTATTAGCGTGGTCTTTCCGCAGCCACTTGATCCGAGCAGCCCGTATCTGCGAATGCGAGTTATTTACAAGGCGAGAAGGATCGGGATACTTACATGACTCCCTGTGGGACCACCATGTCCAACTTGTCCAACACCACCAGCGGTTTTCGTTTACTTCCGTAAGATTTGCAGGCCTGTTGCACGTAGATCGCCGGAGGCTTTGCTTTCGCGGCGGCCATTTGACTAAAAGCAGCCAGGATTGGTAATACCTCAAGCCTTGTGCGGGATAAAGCGTTAAAAAAAGTTGGCATAAGACGCTTTACAACGTTTTAAGTGTTTAAATACGTTTACGCATTGCGGCAATTTCATGGTAGTTTGTAACAGGTGATCGATTGTTTGTTAATTTTACAAATTTGGGCGAAAAGAGAACGGATCTAATATGCGAGAAAATGAAGCGCGTTAAGATAAATGTAAGACGAGTGTTCAAGCAGATAACAGTCGAAACGATAGTGTTGCCTGTTTTTAAAGCCGGGCTGACGGAGAATAAAGGACAGTATTTCTGCTATACGTTCACATGTATAAAAAAAATTGGGGTCGCTTCATCACTGGATATCGACGATTACATAAGTACAAATTTGGTGGGAGAATGGCATTCTTCACTAAATTTTTCAGGCAAGCCTACGCACGAAAACTTACAGATAGCGTGACATGAAATTCTTCTCCAAGCTTTCAATCAATCGCGTCAAATTGCATTTATAATTAAAAGTTCGAACCGGACTCAATTTAACAAATTGTTACCACGAAAGCGTTCAGGTCAAAGGTGCAAAATGCTTCATTGCGCCATATTGGGAGTGGCTAGTTACGTTAAAAAAAACAGTTTATCAATCAAACCTATATTTCATTTTCCTTATTTTTCCTTTATTTTCACGGTCAATTGCCGAATTTTTGTAGTGTCATATTCCATTTTCAAGGTTGTCAATATTAAATGATCTTCATTTTCAAGAGCATCAGCGATCAACGACGCCTTTATGTGATGTCATGTTATATTTTCAAGGTTATCAAATTCCAAAACTTGCAACCTTGGATGACCTTGAAAATAAAAGCTTACACTTCAACAAGGGACCTTGGATGACCTTGAAAGTGGAATTTGAGAACGCAAAAGTAGATCATTGACCTCTGATAACCTTAAAAATAAACCTTAAACCCCAACAATTGGGTCCTGATGACTCAAAAATAAAATATGACACCACAAAAAAGGTAATTGACCTCTATTAACCTTGAACCTTGAAGGATGGGACCATTAACCTTTGACGACTGTCTCCAAAATTGGGGTCCTTGATCTCTAATAACATTAGAAGAAAAATTGAGGTCATTGAACTCTAATATCCTTGAAAATTAACCATGACACTACAAAAATAGGATCATTAACCTCCGATGGCCTTGAAAATGGAGTATTACACAACAAAAATGGGTCATTAATCCTTGACTTTGACCTTGAAATTAAAAAGTCTTTGAGAGTAAAACGTGACTGTAAAAAATGGGTTTGATGGCGTTTGGTAGCCTTGAATGTGAAATTGACTTCAGATGACCTTGAAATCGAATAGCCTTGAGGATCACCTTGACCTACGTACCAAGGTCACCTCCACGTGGCACGCGAATTTCACGTTGACCTACATCGAGGCTATATGTTTCCGAAAACAGCACAGAAAGGTCTAGTAGAGCCTTACAGAACACTGAAGAAATGTGTATGAACCTGAAAAGGTTCAAAAAAGGGTTAGAAAGCACCAGAAATATATGAGCTTCAATTGTCCTGAAATTGTTCTTCGACGTTCTGGTTTTCGTAGTCACTCGAGGGCTTTTCATTGTAGGTTTTGGTCCTCTCTGGAGCTTAAGGAATCTCCCTATGACTTATTCGGGGATAGAAAAGTCTAAAATGTTCTAGAAAAGCACTCAAAGCTTCGGTGAAGCCTGGAAAAGACATGAAAAATTCGTGAAGCATAGAAAGCTTTGAAAAGTGCCGCTTCCCTCTTCAAAAATGTAACATACCGGGGATAATATTCAAAATAGTTTCAAATGATCCAAAAAAAATTCAAAAAACTTGATTTGAACGTTTGAACGATCTGTTAATCTGCATTTAAAAATGAAAGTTTTGGAAATATCAGCAAAGGACAAGCACGATTCAGTGATCGGAAATATTTGTTCTTGGCGTTAAATGCATTGAACGATACTTAAAAACCACATAATAATTAAGACATATAATAAAATGCGTAAACCAACTTAAATAATTGGTGTATAATTAAATTCCGGCTCGAAGGACCATGCGTGCGACTCGCACTCATTATATTGTACGTGATCTCAATCCAAATTAGCCGAGCGCGTCTGTATTCGGTAACGTTAATGTTTTTTCTCATTAATTTTTTATGTATTTTTATGTATGTTTATATTATTTACATAATAATCACATAGCTAAGTAGTATCATTGGATACGATCTCATAATTTTTTACGTTTTTTTACTACTCTCTTCCCTTTATAATTAAATCCTGAATCCGACCTCTTTCATTACGGACCTCTTTTGCAGACATCTTAAGAACCGAAGGTCACATTAGGGTCAATGGATGGAATTGGATTTCAATATGCTAACACTAGAACCTTGACGACACAAAATCAAAAATACCAAAGTATTGTAGCGAATATTCCAGAAATACCGATAGACATCGAGGCGCCATAAAGGATTAGCCATCGGCGATAAAGAGCAAAGGCGGATGTGTCACAATCTTTCCGGGAAATATGACGTGTTTTGTTCTAGAATGATCGAGACTATCAAGAACCCTCGAGTTTGCTATATAAGCAAATCGAATTTGCGTTTCAGTTCAGTTCCAATTTCGACACCGAAATAATAAATTATAAATTGTGTACATGTGAGTGATAAATAATATTTTTGTGGTTATAAATCAATTCATTTCAAGACTGTTATAAATGTATTTTTACTGATGTGTAAATAAATAAATCACGTAATTAAATTTAGAGGTTAGGAATTATTCTACAGCGATTAATGTATTACACAGCTATTATTTTGTCCACAACGTATTTAATGACACTGAGTAATACCTTCTTAACGCGAGCTGTCAAATTTCCACGGCCTTCTCCCAATCAAAACGTGGGCGTGGTACACTTCATGGTATTCTAATGAAAGGTCTAATCGAAATACATTGCTTTTGTATAAACTACAATTGTCCCGCGAGATTCTTTTTCGAGATCAGTGGGTGACAGAATCCGAGGGGGGGGGGGGATTAGTTTTATCTTTCATGGTATTCTAATTAAAGGTCTCAACGAAAGGAACGGCTTTCTACAAACTACCGCCCATTTTCGGACCCCTTATCAAAAGAAGGGGTGGGTGGAAGGGGGGGGGGGTAAAGGAACTGGTTTTATCCTTCATGGTACTCTAATGAAAGATCTCAACAAAAGGAATTAATTTCTAACAACCATAGTGCAAATATCTGCATATAGTGTCGGAGGATTTTGAATGCCCAGGATGCCTTTAAATTTTTATGTGTAAAGAGCCTCCTCCCCATCAATAGATACCAAGAAAGTATATATTATAACCCAACCATTTATTTCGCTATTTCGGTTTAAAAAAATGCGCTTGATCTGCACAAGATTTGTGCACAATTTATAATTATTTTTTCGTTCATACACTATTCTGAGGGGGTTTCCAGAAAATTGCTTATGTAATTGACATTACTTGGCGCAATTTATTTAAAATACTTAGGGTTGTAAAATTAATAAATCTTGTCGACTTCGAAAAGGGGGGCGGTGCAGGGGTTGCATAATTAAGGTGACAAATTGTTTTAAAAAAAATTTAAAAAAAACACACAATTGATATGATTATACAACGCTAAAATAGAAACTCACTTGTGTAATTCGTGTAACCCTCAAAGTCACAAAACTAACCTACAAGCTGAATGCTAATGAAGCTCTACTTAAACATTAACTAAATAATGTTCTAATCACATTCGGTTTAATTGCAAACTTCAACTACATTCGTCGGAATTTTTACAGGTTGATTTAGCCGATGGTCGTGATTGATGGGGTTGAGGTGGGGAACGATTCTCCTACAAGATTAAAGGTAGGTACCCGTTTTGTGCGAATTATTTCGGATTTCCGGTTTGTTTCTTTAATTCTGATTCTAGGCTTACAAGATCAAGTTCGCGAGAAAAGCTGCGCCTTGACTGATTGATTGACATTTGTAACCGTCGACGTAAACAATTGGGGCGGCCTTGTTCGGATCGAGGCACGCAATAAAATTTAAATAATTAAAATTAATTAATGTCGCACGGTATAGGCGCGATGTTAATCTTCTTAATCACCCCCCGAAGCAAAGTGTTAAATCTTTAGGACAGATTGACATTAGTCAAAAGTTCTATATGAAAATTGAAATTTCGCAAAACGCATTAAATAAACTTGCATTTTTTATCTCCTCTTGTTTCTGGAGTCCTGATACAAGTCGTTGAAAATTCGTTTTCGGACAACGAATTCATCAACAACAAATCATTTTTGTATTTGATCCTGATACAACTTTAAAAGGGAACGTTGTGTAAGGCATACATAATAACATGACAAGACGGTCTTCTGGTTTCCTGATAGAATTTTTAGAACTGGTTGGGTGAGAAAACCGAAGAATTGTATAAAGAAAATACAGGGGGGGGGGGTACGCGAAGTTTGTTCGAAAATGTAAGGAGAACATAATACATTGCTCTTTGTGTAAATCTTATACGCTAACTTCTAAAAAAGAAATGCCTATCAGGAGAGCATGATATATGAGAAAGTTGCTTACCACTAATTGTACACCTCTTCGCATTACTGGGATAGGTACTAATACTTCGAAGAACAAATTTAACTCCTCTCTTCTTATCCTTCTAGAAAGAAATTTGTATTAGGAGAACATAATACTATGTTTTTGTACTCTTTATTTATGCATATGCCTTCTCTCAACATTACACTACCTGTTATCACAGTAGAGCAATTTCTCAAAGATTAGGAAAGCATGCTATGAGAAAAGGTGTCGGTAAATAATGTTGATTTCTACGATTCTTGTGAAACAATTCTGAATGTGTATCAGATCATAAAATATGTACCAATAAATTTCACAGCTTCTCGCGTTCGTGTTTTTGAAAAAGGTGACCGAAAATTTCTGTAGGATTTGGACTTTTTGTAACATTTGGAAATAAAGAAAGATCCAAAGAATTTGTAGGACTTGACACTGGACGAGGAGGTGTTTTTCCATGACTATTAGTAATATTTCAACGCCTTATTATGGTTTAATCTTTTAGTAATCTACAACAATTTCTTAATAGAAAGTTCGTGTATGAGCAACACAAACACTGTCTTACATATTATGTTCTCCTGACACAAAAGTTCTTCTTGAGCATAAAAAAGCCCTTCTCTGCTAGCCACAATTTCTTATTAAAACCCAGCCTATTAAGAACAAAATCGCCTCTTGACTTACTAAATTCTCCTGATACAAGCGTTGTAAATGTTTAAGTGAAAATGAGGTCTTTTGTCCTCAAAAGACTTCCGTATCCATTACGTTATCCTGGTAACAAAAAAATCTACTTTTTCTCATAATAACCCTGTGTACTAGGAGCAAAAACACCTCCTGGCCACACTCCTGATATATTGCTTAATGTGTTGGATTGTGTTTCCAGCATGGAAAAGTTCTCATCTATTATGTTGTCCTGACAGCCCGAGAAAATGGACAATAAAAAAAGATCTCTTCATCAACCCTAGAAGGATTAAACTCATTAAACTCCTTGTTCTCCTGAAAATTTTTAATATTAACCGAAAATAAATTCTTGTTTTGATCATAGAAAGTTGTCCTAAAAGAACCTCCTTGTCGATTATACGCATAGTGATAACCACATGAACCTTGCGCGTTTTGAAACTTATTCTGTGCTCCTGATACAAAGATCAGGAGGTCATAATACGTAATAAAGCGTTTGTCATAAAATTCTGCACCCTTTTCCGTCTTTGTCATTTTCTGAAACAAAAATGACATGATTGTTATATGGAGCAGTTTCTAAGCTATCAACTTATATCAGGAGTACATGACGCAGAGGAAGCTGTTCCTGCAATCCTAATGTAATTTTCTTTAATGAAAAGTTTATATCATGAAAACACAATGCCCCAGATGTTAAGAAATTGCGTACCGATTTGCGTCTCTCCAATACCAATACAACAAACAAGGAAAGCATAATATGACAGGTATTATCAACAGATTTTTCATCTGCTTATGTGTGCTATGGACAAACTTTTATAATAACGGCGAACTTTTTATCGGGACAATATATCACAACAAAAATATCTCTTATTAAATTTAGCGTGTTATTGCGTCTCTGTAATCCTAATAAGTCACTTTAAAAGAGAAATTTTTATCAAGAGATTTTTCGCCCTCTTACATTTCTGTAATCTTGATCCCCAACGATTTTAAATAGGCATTCGAGAACATATAATGCATTGGAAGGTGTTTGTTTCTTCCATCTCTGTGATTCTGATAACAGCGATTTTTATCAGAATGGAAAATTGCGCTTAGGTTGCACCCAGTTTGGCATCTCTGACACAACAATCTTACACTGAAAATGGTGTTAGGGCAAAGTCCAAAAGCGACATTTTTATCAGGAGAATATTATATGAAAGAAGAGGTATGTCAATAATTCTTATTGTGTTTCTGGGACTCTGTAACATTTTCTAAACGTGAAATTTTGCATCGGAAGCGCGTAATACATAAGAATGTGCCTGTTACGTTTCTGTGACCTTGTAATAACATTCCCACATTTGCCTCAGGAAAACATCATGCGTGTGTGTTTTCGTGAGAAATTGTGTCACAATAACATAGCAGATGCGAACAATAAATAATGTACGTTGTGCTAATAGTACATGAGCTTGCATGAATAAATTGTACCGTAAGGACATACTACACGTGGAAGTGCTTTTCAAAGAATTTTGCACCTGTTTGTGGTTCTGTGCTCCTGATACAAGGTTTTCTAAAGAGAAATTTCTGTCATGGGACATAATGCAGTTTGTCAGGAAATACCGTACTATCTGTACCTGAGCAGAAGTACTGGAAGTTGAATTGCATTCTGCTCTCCCGATATAAGCCATTTGTATACATGGTTGACCAATATAGTGACTCACATTTTATGAGTCTCAGTGTCATAAGCGTGGACCATGTACGTACTACTGATACCAACATACGTTTCAATATCAAGAAAGCAGGACTCCACTAACATGTATCTTGAATGGTCTCTCTGTGATTTTAGCATCAGGAGAACAGAGCTAACGGAAAATTTTGATTAATTCCCTCTCCTGGCAGCCGTCTCTAGGCACGGTGCGGTGTTAAGTGAATGAAACTGTAGCAAGATATGTACTCGCGCTTCATGTTATTCTGATAAAATCTCATTTCTAGAAAATTAGTGTATACATAATTATATACCGTGAAACCAGACTCATAAACACCTTAGTCTCCTGATGCAAACCCATCTCCAGGAATGGCAAACTATTTAGTTTGTCTTTTATAGTCAGGAGGAGTATCAAATCAGCAGCTTAAAATTGTTTTATATTATGTTCTCCTAGGATTGGTTTTGTGTCAGAATCGAACAGTATTCACTATCACGTCATTATCCCAGCATTCCAACTCGTTTTTAGTTAGAACAAGGCGCCTTGAATTATGCTTTCCTGGTACGATCTCTAGGAATGGTTTTAGCATCAAGAAAGCAGAGCTAAAAGAAGATTGGGATTATTTGGGATACACTTACCGTTCGTCATGTTTCCCTGAGAGCAATTTGATTGCAAGCATTTTGTATTTACTACTTACGTTTTGGTTTCCTTTCGTAAACCACCTCTAGGCATGATTTAAATGTCAGGTGAAGATCTGTAACAAGATAAACCCATAGTCTAGTCTCCTGATAATCATTTATCTCTGGAAATGTGTGGATTCCATTAGATTACCAACTCGTTTCTAATAAATTTATTACTCTCTGTACCAGGAGAATAAGACGGAAATTCTTCTTGTATTCTGCTCTCCCGATCTAAGCCATCACTAGACATGGATTATTGTCGATGAATGAAATGTGTGGGCATGCCGAGCTAGTTCTCCACTTTCTCCCGATACCAACTTATTTCCACGAACGTAGCGTCCATACAGATATAAAGGAACATTGTCTTACGCCTTTATGTTTCTTGTTTTCCTGATCCAACGCATGGTTTTTTATTAGGGAATCTGATCTCTGGGAATATTATCCCTTAACTCCTAATGCGCATTGAGCTCTAAAATAACTGCAGAATAAAACCAAAATCTTATGTCTACGTATTCTCATGTTTTCCTGATACCAATTCAATTATAAGGATTTTCTGTCTGCATCAGAAGAAAGAACTGGAAACCCAAATCTTCCCTGCATTCTGTTTTTCGGATAGAATAGGCATAGGTTAGTGTCTCGATGTTGTAGCATGTTCTCATGGCACCAACCTATATCTAAGTGTAAATAAAAAATAATATCTTGGAAGTGTTTTAGGAGAGCAGAGATTCTGTTTTTTCTGATACTGAAAGCTTGCATGCTTGGTAAGCATGGTTTAGTGACCAGCGGGTAGAACGATATAGATTCACTACTCATGTTGTCCTGATAACATCTTTGTGATGGTGAAATTTCAAAGGGATCGATGTACCATATATCAGGAGCACATAGCGCAAGAGAAGCTGTTTATCATTTATCTTTATACCTCCTTGCGTTTCTGTAATCCTAATGAGGCGTTTTTAAGGGAAAGTTCATAAGAACGAAACACATGGGATGTGTTTCTGTGATACTAATACAACGAAATGTAAGGAAATCATAATTTAAAAGGCGTTTGTCAACCGATTTTGCACGTCCTTACACTTTTATGATGCACAAACAAACTTTTAAAAAGCGATATTGATATAAGGAGTATACCGCTTAATAAATCAGGAGATTATGATACATGAGAAGGCCTTTTTTATACAACAATTTTAAATAGGTGAACTTACACCATCTGCGATCCTGATAGTAAGTGACAGGGGGCAGGAAAAGTAGTCAGGAAAGGTGGTATTGGTGATAGTGGTAGTGGTAGCAACGAGAAGGGAAACGTCCACTGGCTACTACACTAAGATATCATAGGGATCCCATCTCCCAGAATTCGGTTATCGATTGGTTTGACGCGACCTTCGAGAAGGTTATGCTGTTTTCATTTACTCGTTTACAAGAATCTGGGAAAAAAACTGTTATGGTACGCAACACGCACAAGAGTTTTACGTAAGAACTTGGCACCGGGAGGTTTGAGTGGTATGTAATACTCCTCAGTAAACGAAAACCATTGCCATCATGAAATGCTTCGAATATCTATAAGTACGAATAAAAACGTCGTGAACTGTTTGTTTCATAGGTCGATTTCTTCAAGATTCCTGTTAGGTTACATTAGTCCTATCTTTTCTTGGAAAATGCTACAATCCAGTCTCTCTCCGATTATCCCGCACCGCACACTGTTATCGAAAACGTACCCGTTGTTATCGGCAGACATACTTTCGTTCAGGTTTGCTATGAAGCGGTACACGTAGAAATTTCCCCTTTAAATCACAAAGCGACCTCCAGTTACATCCTCAGGCGAATTGGTATCAGGAATTAATTAACGGCTATTGAGTAACTAATCACAATCTCCCTATAGCTCTGCTCTCCTGACACTAAAACCAGTGAGCTGTACCAGGGCATCATAATACAAGGGAAGGCCCTAATCTTAGAGAAAAGTTGGTGTCAATGAGACGCGATCAATTAATGAAAATCCATCTAAGACCCTTGACTCAAACCCATTCCTAGAGATGCTACTTATCAGGAGAACATAATACAAAAAACGCTGTGTAGGTATTTGTCAAATAATTTAATTCTGCCTTTAGAGATGGTGTTCTATCAAGAGACTAAAATAAAGGAACATTCATGTTTTTGTTCTTTTACCTTTACACAGACATTACATTTTTAGAAATGAGTTATCAGGAGGTGAGTTCAATTTTCCTCTTCTGACAGTATATTATACGCTAAAAAAGCAGGTTTTATCAAGAGTTAATGATACACTAGTGGGTGTATTGGTTGATTGATGTAAATCTTCGCCTTCTGGAGTCTTAAACCATTCATAGAAATCAGGAGCGCATAATGTAAGGTAGACTTAAAATTCCGTCTGTATTCTTCGGATAGAGATACCAATTTCTTACGAATCAGTTTAAGGAAGCACGATTGGCTATCTTCCTGATACAGAACCATTCTTAGAGATAGTTATATCAGGAGGAGAGCAAAGTACAATAAAGGTTTAAGTTATCGGTTTTATACTGCTGATACAGGCAGTATTTCTTAGAAATGAAGAGTTTTTTACAGAAAACTATAGTAAAAGAAGGCTTCAGAGAGCAACTTTACAGAAACGAGTTTTATCAGGAAAACATAAGATCAGTGTACACATTAAATTCAATCTACATCTTTTTAAGTGCCGATCCTTCATGCTTTTGAGAACTTTAAGAAACTTAAAAAAAACGTGTATGGTTCTCTATGGCTTTAAGTTTTTAAAAGCCTTCAAAGGTCTTTTAAAACGCTTAATAGACATTTAATCTTTAAGGATCTTAGTTTTTAAGAGTGTGGCTTTTAGTGCTTAACAGACTTTTTAGATTTCGTGGGTCTTTAAGGCCGTTCAATAGTTTGTGGCGTTCAGAAAAAATCTAAGAGAACTGTACATTGTAGAAACTCAAGGGTACCTAAGATTTACTTTGGTCCGTCCTTAAAGCTAGAAATATACCAGATGGTTATAGGTACTGAAGTGATCCGACCTTAATAAATTAATATTGGTATAAGATCTACATTTTAACATAATCTATATTAATATTTCTAAAGGAGTGTTGCAAGACCTTTCCTAAATATTAATATGGCGATATTTATTTGACTTGAATACGTAACTCATTGTATAAACAGAAATGCTTGAGCTCGTTCACTTTTCACATAGTTTCCAGGAAGTGATAAATAAAAACAGAAATGGATAAGTACTAAACTTGTAAAGTAAGCGCTCGGGCGGGTAGTCAATAAGATTCAATGAAATTAATTGAGTCGAGCTATTAAACATGGGCGAATCGAGAACACGCAATTGTAATGTTACAGAGGTGCAATACTGTTCTCGCCGTACATTAAATAAATTCAATATGTATATTAATTTGCAAGTAACCATAATTCTATATAAACCGGTGTGTGGTCTGATATGAATGCAACAGAAGGAGGCGTTGGTCAGAGACGAACTTAATAAGTTACGAGTTACAGATTTGTGTACGTGCTTTATTATTAATGAAAATTAAGCCGCGCGAAACTATGCGTTCGGCTGTCAATTATTTGTAATTGGAAACGGAATTGAGTTTGCTAATTACGCAAGCTGCTAGTAAATTAAATTACCTTAACTAGAAGGATTAATTAATTCCTCGAATAATTTGACTCATATTTTAATTTTATCACTTCATGAATATACATTGAAGTCTATCAAAGGAGGTTACACTGGTTTCGCTTGGTATTATAATGTTTCCTGCTGCTGACAGTAAGGCCAAATAGTGCCTTAAATTGTGGTTATGTAGAAACTATGCCTATTATAATAAAGACATTATTATTCTGTTTAGTGGGCCATTAAAGCTCCAACGTTGGTTCTGGAAACCGCAGGACATTTCCGTTTCCGTGGCCAATCGGTGCCGAGTACTGCCAATTATGCGTTCGCTCGTAGTAGACCGAAAATTAAAGGCTAGGCCAACGAAAAGAATAATATCAGTACATACTACATTTAATTCATTGTTATTTTTCCCCGTAAATTAACGAAAACGTCCTGCTAACACTTTTCAACGTTTAAAAATATATCGTGCTCGCTTTTCAAAGAAAGGCTTTTTGGATCAAACGTGATCGGTAGCTTCGTTCTCTCGTTGAGCGTAAATCGAAACTGGTTCAACATGGCTACCACGGCCACCTTCACCTGCATTAATCCAAATCGCATCCCTAAAAGGCGAAGTATTAGTGAAGGGGTCTTGTGGGAGCGATGCCTTTTACCTAGACAATTTCTCGGTCCCTCGCCGAACGGCATCCAAGCGCAAGAGGGACGAGCCGCTTTATTTTCGGGCGAGAATCTTTCCGGGTCGAACTTGTAGGGCTCGGGGTAGTATTCGGGATCGTAGTGGACTCCAAGAAGGGGTATTCGTATTTGGGTGCCCTTTTCCACCGTTAGATTTGTACCCGGCAGTCTGTAGGTTTGCGTGCACTGTCTTACGAGTAACCCGCCGGGTGGGTACATTCTTAGCGCCTCTAAGAGTAAAGCGTTACCCCAAGCTGTTACCCTCCAGTCTCTTACCTGAAACGCATTGATCGAGATAAGGCATCTGCATGATGGCGTTGTAGGTAATCTTCGAGTCGTTCTTCTTCAGCACCTCGCGAATTTCGGCCCGAAGCGTTTCCTGCGCGTGCGGATTTCTGCTCAGCTCAAAGAAGCAGAAGGTCATGGCGGTCGTAGCCGTATCGAATCCGGCGCTGAAGAACCCAAAGCACTGGGCGGCCATTTCGTTGATTGTCATCTCGCTTTCGCCTGGTACGTTCCTCCCTCGGTTTCTCAACTCGATCAGCAGCTGAATAAGGTCCTTGTTCGTGACGTTATTGGCCTCCCTGTAAGTCGCAACGTCCCCCACGAGTTTTACAAAGAAGTCGCCCACGTCTTTGGGTATAAACCTAGCGTTGAGACGAAACATCAGACCAGGGCAGATCCTCATTAGTGCATCCTTCAGTACTCCGAACAAATCTCTTCGAAAGGCGTTCATGGCGTGCTTTCTAAATTCGGAATCCTGCTGACTTAAGCCGTTGCATTCCACCCCAAAGCCAGCCGTGCCTATGGTATCCATGGCGAATCTGGCGAAGGTGTCCTTAACATCAACCGGCCGTTTGTCTCTGATGCATTGTGCCATAAGCTCGCCTAACTTTTTCGTGTGATTTTCAAAAGTCTCAAACATCATCCTCATGTTATCCGAAGTGTATGCCTCCGATACCTTCACCCTGACGTTCCTCCATTTTTGGCCTTTCAAATTGAAGGTCATCCCACTTAAGGGGTCGGCCTCTTCGTTGACATACATCGGCCGGTCGGTGAAAGACGCGAAATCCTTCACCAACACTCGCCTGATTAAGTCATTGTCGGTTATGACCAAGACTGGCAACGTCGAGAAGTAAAAACCGCCATATTTCAACTTCTTCATCTTATGCTCGTTGTAGAAATCCGCATACATCACGTGCAGAGATTTCTTCTGGGTCATGTAACTTTTGGCGTGGCCATAAGGAAAGGTCACAGGCGGAACCTTGACGCCCCTCTTCTGCCAATAAGACCATGCGTTTTTGAAGTACAAAACCAACCCCGCTACCACTGCAAGAAGAACTGCCAATAGGATCACTAGCACCATCTTTTCTCATCGACGATCAGCGTACCGTTATACTTTAAATGTGCGTGTACGAAAGTCACTTTTTGACCCACTAATAAATGGATTTTTATGAACTAACAAGTTTACCAATCTTCTATCTCTCAGCTTGCGACAAAGGTCAAGTTATGCAGATTGTAATAGCTTAATCTATATTTGTGCTTGAACAACAACCAAAAATTATAATCTTTATTACCACTTACATCACTTTTCATGCTATCGTCTTCCAAAATAATGTTTCCAAAGGTCTTCTACACTGTACCTTTAAAAATCCAAATAAATCCTCAAAGGTTTTCAAGAATCTACCAATAGTTTCATAGGAGCTTTGGGAGGCTGTAATTGGATTTTAACACCTTGGAAGGTCCTGAATTCCCGTTAAGTGTGTTTAGGACACTCGCCTTTTTTTGGATCCTTAAAAGACGCGAAAAGTGGACAAGAGCCTTCCAATTACCGTTACAGTCCCTAAATTCTTTCCTATTTTAAGAGCCGAGCCATCAGGAACTTTTGTGAGTCTTTGAGAATCACAATGGACCTTTAGGAATCTTTTGGGCGCTTTGAAAGCCGTAGTCAACCGCCATTAAGAGTCTCCCAAAGGTTTTAAATGCCTCTTGGCTTCCACAAGACCCCTTCACTAACACTTCGCCTTTTAGGGATTTGGATTAATGCAGGTGAAGGTGGCCGTATGGTAGCCATGTTGAACCAGTTTCGATTTACGCTCAACGAGAGAACGAAGCTACCGATTACGTTTGATCCAAAAAGACTTTCTTTGAAAAGCGAGCACGATATATTTTTAAACGTTGAAAAGTGTTAGCAGGACGTTTTCGTTAATTTACGGGGAAAAATAACAATGAATTAAATGTAGTATGTACTGATATTATTCTTTTCGTTGACCTAGCCTTTAATTTTCGGTCTACTACGAGCGAACGCATAATTGGCAGTACTCGGCACCGATTGGCCACGGAAACGGAAATGTCCTGCGGTTTCCAGAACCAACGTTGGAGCTTTAATGGCCCACTAGACAGAATAATAATATTATAATAGGCATAGTTTCTACATAACCACAATTTAAGGCACTATTTGGCCTTACTGTCAGCAGCAGGAAACATTATAATACCAAGCGAAACCAGTGTAACCTCCTTTGATAGACTTCAATGTATATTCATGAAGTGATAAAATTAAAATATGAGTCAATTATTCGAGGAATTAATTAATCCTTCTAGTTAAGGTAATTTAATTTACTAGCAGCTTGCGTAATTAGCAAACTCAATTCCGTTTCCAATTACAAATAATTGACAGCCGAACGCATAGTTTCGCGCGGCTTAATTTTCATTAATAATAAAGCACGTACACAAATCTGTAACTACTAACTTATTAAGTTCGTCTCTGACCAACGCCTCCATCTGTTGCATTCATGTCAGACCACAAACCGGTTTATATAGAATTATGGTTACTTGCAAAATAATATACATATTGAATTTATTTAATGTACGGCGAGAACAGTATTCACCTCTGTAACATTACAATTGCGTGTTTTCGATTCGCACATGTTTAATAGCTCTACTCAATTAATTTCATTGAATCTTATTGACTACCCGCCCGAGCGCTTACTTTACAAGTTTAGTATCCATTTCGGTTTTTATTTACCACTTCCTGGAAACTATGTGAAAAGTGAACGAGCTCAAGCATTTCTGTTTATACAATGAGTTACGTATTCAAGTCAAATAAATATCGCCATATTAATATTTAGGAAATGTCTTGCAACACTCCTTTAGAAATATTAATATAGATTATGTTAAAATTTAGATCTTATACCAATATTAATTTATTAAGGTCGGATCACTTCAGTACCTATAACCATCTGGTATATTTCTAGCTTTAAGGACGGACCAAAGTAAATCTTAGGTACCCTTGAGTTTCTACAATGTACAGTTCTCTTAGATTATTGCTGAACGCCACAAACTATTAAACGGCCTTAAAGACCCACGAAATCTAAAAAGTCTGTTAAGCACTAAAAGCCACACTCTTAAAAACTAAGATCCTTGAAGATTAAATGTCTATTAAGTGTTTTAAAAGACATTTGAAGGCTTTTAAAAACTTAAAGCCATAGAGAACCATACACGTTTTTTTTAAGTTTCTTAAAGTTCTCAAAAGCATGAAGGATCGGCACTTAAAAAGATGTAGATTGAATTTAATGTGTACACTGATCTTATGTTTTCCTGATACAACTCGTTTCTGTAAAGTTGCTCTCTGAAGCCTTCTTTTACTATAGTTTTCTGTAAAAAACTCTTCATTTCTAAGAAATACTGCCTGTATCAGCATTATAAAACCGATAACTTAAACCTTTATTGTACTTTGCTCTCCTCCTGATATAAGTATCTCTAAGAATGGTTCTGTATGAGGAAGATATAGCCAATCGTGCTTCCTTAAACTGATTCGTAAGAAATTGGTATCTCTATCCGAAGAATACAGACGGAATTTTAAGTCTACCTTACATTATGGGCTCCTGATTTCTATGAATGGTTTAAGACTCCAGAAGGCGAAGATTTACATCAATCAACCAATACACCCACTAGTGTATCATTAACTCTTGATAAAACCTGCTTTTTTAGCGTATAATATACTGTCAGAAGAGGAAAATTGAACTCACCTCCTGATAACTCATTTCTAAAAATGAAATGTCTGTGTAAAGGTAAAAAAACAAAAACATAAATGTTCCTTTATTTTAGTCTCTTGATAGAACACCATCTCTAAAGGCAGAATTAAATTATTTGGCAAATACCTACACAGCGTTTTTTGTATTATGTTCTCCTGATAAGTAGCATCTCTAGGAATGGGTTTGAGTCAAGGGTCTTAGATGGATTTTCATTAATTGATCGCGTCTCATTGACACCAACTTTTCTCTAAGATTAGGGCCTTCCCTTGTATTATGTAGCCCTGGTACAGCCCACTGGTTTTAGTGTCAGGAGAGCAGAGCTATAGATTGTGATTAGTTACTCAATAGCCGTTAATTAATTCCTGATACCAATTCGCCTGAGGATGTAACTGGTGGTCGCTTTGTGATTAAAGGGGAAATTTCTTTTAAAACCTTTCACAGACATTTTAGTCTTAAGAAATGTTTAAAAAAGTCTCATTCTGTATGGGTTTTTGGAAGTCGAAACCTTAGGATCCTTTAAGGGTAAGAGTTCTTCATCTTTCTAAGAGGCGAAAGTTTAAGAGGCCTTCTAAGAATATCCAATAAACTCAAAGGGTTTCCAAATCCTTTGATCACTTCCAAAAGTCATTCCTTTAGAACCGTCTATTAGTATATACGAGCTCCACCTTAACCATATCCCATACTACATCGGGGGGGAGTTCCCCAAACTCACTATGGTTTAGGACGTTTAAAAGACTTTAGAAGTCGGATCTGTGATAAGAGCCTCCTAGGGGATTAGTCTTCAAGAAATATTTTTAAGCCTTTTGAGACCTCATACACGTCAGAAGCCTTTGTTAGTCCTTAAGATCTTTATGATCAATTATGAAGCTTAAATGTTTTCTCCTTAAAGACTTTCAATGGCCTCCATAGTCTCTGAGTGGCCCTAAGGGCATGTAGAAAGCCTGTTGAGGATCCCTGAGAGACTGATAATAATCTTTGAGAGTATCTTATTAGTACGAAACATTTACAATCTTTGATCTCCATAAGTGTGCAAAGATTTGAAAACTCTAACAGCCTTTTATAGGCTTTCAGAGCCTTTATTTAAATTATAGATTTCGAAATTTTCAAAAAGCCTTTAAAATTCTTGATAGGATCTAAGAGTGTTAAAAAACCTTTGAAGGTTTTTAGAAACATCTATCGATTTCCAACAGCCTTTAAGGTCTCCAGTAGCTCCTCAGGGCTCCAAAGGGTCTTCCAGAAAGCGAAACCTTTAAAGGGATTCTGTAAGAGTTATAGTTTTTAAGTCTTAAAGAGACTCCAAAACCATTTTGGAACCTTTAACGACAGGGGCTTTCAAATGTGTTAGTTCGATTGCTAGATTGCTCTTCTCTTGGTACTTTCTCATTTCTAACAACTTATCCATTTTCTCCTCTTCTCTTCCTCTGCCTCTTAGCGGAGTTCCTTGAAACCGTCGACTCTTCTCAAACGCTTCTTCTACTCCGGTTGCATCAAGTTCTCTCTCTTTTTCTCTTTGTACCTCCGTTAGCGTTTGATGCTTCGTCGCTGTCTATTCCTTTTGTTTTCCTTTTCAGGAATTCAGTGCTTATTTTTGATATCCTTAGCGTCAGATCACATGCCGCTCGACCCGTCGGACTCTGACCTTTGTCGTTGTTATCGTTATTGCGTTGGTATTAGGCTAATTTTATCTCATGTGGCGTTGAAAATTTTATTACCGTCTACTTTCGACACTTTCGTCCACTCTTCGCTTGAGTTAGGCAATTGCTAGCTATTTCCAGGGAAATGAAGATTAATTGCGGAGCAAAAATCAAACGTGCGCTCACTACAACTAGACCTTTAAAAGTTACCAATATTCTCAAATAGCGGACGGCAAGAGCTTCCCCATGCCTTTCTTAGGGTCCCTTTCTTTAAGACATGAGCCTTTAAAGGCTTTGTGAAATCTTGGACGGCTTCGATAATCTTAATCAGTCCTTAAGAATCTTGACGAGCTTAAAATACCTTTGGCATTTGAACTTTGGCAATCTTTAAGAATTCCCAGAAGTTTTCAGGAGGGAATTTTGAAACCCTAGGTTGACGCTTCATCTTTAAGAGCCTTTAGAAGACTTACTTTCTAAGATGTTTTAAAATCAAACCTTTAAGGTCATTTAGTGGTGTCTGTGGTAGTCTCTAAGAACCTCCTTATAGTCGCTACAGCCTCAAAGATTCTACAAGAAGCTGCAGAATCTTTTAAACGCTTTAAGGTTAATACATTAATGTTTAAGAGACTTCTTGAGTCTCCATGAATAAAACCCAATAATTTCATATGGTTGCCAAAAGCCTTTAGGACCTTGCAAAAGATCAAGGCTTTAAAGGTTCTAACACAAACCACAAGGCTCTTGGATATTCCCAAAGGCCTAAGGCTTTTAGAAACTCGCGGAAAAGGTTCTTAA